CGCTCTTTTCAATCGATACGATGCTAATGAATTTTTAACGATCAGAGTGACCGACTTTTCTCAATGTTTTCGTTAGAAAATTCGCATAGCTGCATTATTAATCACGTGGTTCGTCAAATAAACCTTCAAATGTCATCCCTTTGAAAGAGGTAATATGAAATTAGATATTTTTCTACGACTAATTTTTTACAATCATTGTTGGAAAATTTTCATAATTACTTTCGTTAATGGGATGATTGGTGAATTAATAATCACGTAATTGTACTGTTAATCGCTTGGTTAATCAAATAAACCTCATTTAATCCTTTATTTCTTGACCTTAAAATATTCCTTTATATAAAAGTACTTACGTCACTTTACAAATACAAGGACAAATAAAACGCAAAGTAAGACAAACGTTTGTGAATAACGTAAGATAGTACAATGTTTATACGTTCCTGCGATTTACTATTTTTATTATTTACAATAAATATGATACGTGAATCTTTATTTTCCGCATATATTGATATTCGACTGTCAGATACATATTGTTAGAACAAAGTATTTCTTAGGAACTAGATCATCTGTTTCCAACAGATATTCCATTTTGGTGATATAATATTCGAAAATTAACATATTCGGAGAATAAGTCCCCAATGTGAATATAAAATAAGAAAAGCTCCATTGAGAATTAAATTACGAGAAATTATTTTGTATGTCATCTAATGATACAAAAATTTAACATCATTTAACGTTTCACTACTCAATTCCGGATATGATAGAAATTGAAATGGATAGTACGAAATTAGACTAATTTCTTTTTACGAGATCGTTACCAGATAATGAAACGAATTCTCGAAAATGCTCGGCTCTCGTTTGAAAAGAAGAAAAAAAAGAGAACAATAGAATTCACGGGTTTTTCCGTGGCGTCGCCATAACGTCCCTTTCGCTCGTGCAATCACGAACCTGATATGAAAAATTCAACGATTCATCGGCCGGTAATTCGACGATTCGATGACGATGCTCCGCGCTGATGGCAGGCCACCGAGCATTTCCAAGCGTTGTCGCGACAATGTCGCTGCCTTTTCCCAGTAGAAAACGCGGCTGTAACGTTCTTCCTGCTGTGCAATACATTTTCCATTATCGCGCGTTCCGCGTGACGCCGCGCGGATTATCGATGTTCCACGCGAGCACCGGAAATTCGCACGCGCGTGGCGATCGTTTGCTCTCTGACGGTGAGAAAAAAAAGAAAATATCCCAAACGGATGACGAATTGATTTCCAAATGTTTCGACAAACGTCTAGACAAATTCTTAGAAGGAGAAATAATTGTCAAAATTGTCATCTTGGGCGATAAATGTCCAAATTTTCGTTGTCATTTTAGGTTTCGGTTAAGTGAGAAAAAAATATTTACGATGACGATTAATTTCCAAGTGTTTCACTAATTTTTTTAGAAGGAGAGATATTTATTTATTGTTGTTGAAGTTATTAAAATTCGAGTGATAAATGTTCACGTTTTCATAGTATTATTAGTTAAATAAGAAATTTTTTAGTTAGAAATAAGAGGAAATATTCCGAACGATTAATTTAATTTTAAATGTTTCTGTCTAGATAATTTTTAGAAGAGATTATAAAAATTTTTAATAAACGTTCAAATTTTCCAGAAGAAATGTTCCGGACATTGACGATTAATTTTTAAAACGAGAGATAGTTGTTAAAATTCGAGTGATAAATGTTCAAATTTTTCTAAAAATTGTTTAAAAGAAGAAATTCTCACGACTGTACTAATTTTTAGAAAGAGAGACAATTATAAAAATCAAAGGGTAATTCGTTCAAATTTTCGTAATTAGATAAGTGTTACTCTTTAAGAAGGTCTTTAAAAAGGAAAAATTTTAAATGTCATTCATTAGTATTCAAATCATCACGGATGAATTAATCTTGGAGAAGAGAGACAGTTGTCAAAATTCAGACGATTCTCTTCGTAGGAGAAAAATTTTCAAAAATGCTGGCGATTAATATTCAAATTCTCACGACTAGTTTCAAGGAAGAAAAAGAGTTGTTAAAATATATGCGCATGATATTCAAGTTCTCGTAATTTCGTGGATTTTCATTCATCTATGAGAAACTGAAGGCTGCAAAAATGCAAGAAAAATCTATAAAACATCGGGATATCAAATACTCAGTTACAACCTGTTTGTTAATAAAATTATAAAATCGCATAAACAGTTCTATAGCCTATTGACAAGATTAGATTTAGAAGAATAAGAACTTCCAAAATGTTGGCGAATGACGTTTGAATTTTCATTGAAATATTATACCTAAATAGGTAGTCTCAATAATTCATCTCTAGTGGCAAGAGAAATAAGAAGATATCATAATTGTAATGATAAAACTTGGCCCAGGCAAAGAAGAATAGTAAAAAGAAACTATTTAAATTTAAGAAAAGACAATCACAATAAATTAGTAGAAATGATACAGTAAACAGGTTCGGCGAAGACAATCTTGTTAAGACGTACAGCTTCATAAAGGTTGGCAAGTTGAAACAGCCGGTCATGTTTTATGGGGTGCAGAGTGTCGAGGCAGCTGGGAGCAACAAATTTTCACTTCCAAACCTGAAAAACCCCATATTCCGTGCTTTCTCCGCCGTTACATTCCAAACACTATCCGTTTATATATTTCTACCATTTCCTAGCACTTTCGTCGTAAACTAGCCAGTCCAAATATTTTATAGATCTTCGATGTCGAAACCTCGTAAACGATACATCAGACGGAACAAAAGCATCGAATGAGCAACGTAAAATAAATTACAGAATATTTCTTTGTACGTCCTGATGTCTTTCTAGGGTGTTTTAATGTAAGGTTTGCTTTTATGACATATACGTACGTGTAATATAATATTTTCTTATTTACGTGTGAAGAGTAATGAATAGAATGCATTAGAAAGTACTTAGATTGGTGCAGATGTTCGTGCATTAGAAAATTTAAAGATACAGAAATGTAGAATAGCTGTTTTGTTGTAAGAATTATTTAGTGAAGAGATCTGTCTAGGTTCTGTTTTTTTTTTCTTTTCTTTTTAAGATTTATATTTCAGAGATGTACGACACGAAGATTTGGAATTTGACATTTTATAATCTAAAAATCTATGACTCTGGAATCTAGAATCTAAAAATCTATGATCCAAGGATCTGTAATACAAAGAATTACTGTGACTTAAAAATCCAGAATTCTATGATTTAACGTATTAAATTCTAAGTTTCTAATTCTATTCTACAATTTAATATATTAATAAAAATCTCCAATTTAGAATTCTACAATTTAAAATCTATAATTCAAATATACGTGTTATCCAAAAATCGACGATTCAAAGATTTGCGATTCTAAAGTCTAAAATCAACTAAAGTCCAAGAATCTACGATCCAACGATCTGTAATCCAAACGGGACTCAATAGATCCAACGATCTACAGTCCAAAATCCAAACAAGCAACGACGATCGCGAGCACAGAGTTTTCTCTCGCGACAGACCCCTTTCTCGCATCAAATCCCTCCCTTCTGTAAAATATCCAACAACAAGAGCTTTGATCGTGAGTCAACAACCACCCGACGACACCCCTCGCTATCGGGGGTGGCGGGTGTCGCCAGGAAATGATGCGCTTCTTTCGCGTACCTACGTCGTTCGCGACGCGTGAGCAAATTCCTGAAATCCGTGCGTCACTCGCACAGATCCGGCGTATGGCGGAAGAAAAGAGAGGCGATGAAGGACGAAAAGTAGAAGGGCGAGAGCACACAAGGGGAATGTGACATGGGAAACCACTGGCGTGGAAAGCCACGTGACGGTAATAAGTTCCTTGGTTCGAGAAAATGTATAACGAGAGAAAAATAAAAGAGAAAGGAAAAGAATGAGAGAGAAAACAACATCGTTACCATCTACATAAAGATGGCTATCATGGTCCAATAAATTATGACAGTGTGCCCTGCCGCGTTGCCTCGATCACCCAACGTGTTTCCTCTTCCGCCGATTCAACTGCGATTTATCGGTCCTGTTGGAATGCCAGCAGCGAACGCGTACGTTTGATTAGAGACGGCGTCGAACTTTCAAAATCGTTGGATGGCGAAACTTATTTCGAATGATACTTCCAAGTATAGTTGAATATTTCGTGAATACTTCTGAAAATGATAATAATTAGATTGGTCTAGATAATAAATAGACTGATGAATAAATACTGATAAAACGAATAAATAAATCTGATAAATATTTAAAATATGATACACAAATAAATATGATAAATATTTAAAATATGACAAACAAATAAATATTATAAATATTTAAAATATGATAAACAAATAAATATTATAAATATTTAAAAATATGATAAACAAATAAATATGATAAATATTTAAAAACATGATAAACAAATAAATATGATAAATATTTAAAATATGATAAATACTGATAATATTGAAATATAATTGAAAATATAGTTTTTGATCCAGCGAATCCTCGAGTGGTGTAGATAGACGAATTTCAGTGTCAGAGCTATTTGATGCGATGAAGTCGTGTGTTTTTCTGTTTTCTATATTTCTATCGAAAAACTGTTATAATCTAATTCACGAACGAATGCACATAATGCAAACGGTATCATTCCTCTAGCGAGAAGAAGAACAAAATCACACCTGTTTCGTAGATTTCCAAGATTCGAGAACTACCGATGAAAGTTTCGAATCTTCACAAACATCGAACTACTTATACTTGTACTTAGTTTTCGGAAGTAAACTGTAGTTACTCGCTCCAACATTCGAAAGCAGCTTGTGCAAGTTTTTACTTCTGCAATAGTATTCGTATTATAATAGTATTACTAGTATTTACTTTTAGTATACATTGAACCTGATGAAATTTAAACGTTAAATTCAACTTTGATTCTTTCGTTCTTTGATCTTTCAGCACGGTCAAATTGTTAATTTTCTTGCACCTATCGATAATAGTAACGAGTTGGGGGGAAAAAAAAGTGTATGTTTGGAAGCGGATGTTAATTGACTTGTACTCTGTTGCAGGACAGGAAGTCGAGGAAGTTGAGGAGGAACTTAGACCAGTCTACGATGAACGGGAACTGACAGAGTTGGTTAGTGGTTTAACTCTGTTCTTAGAATATAAACATACACTTTGCGGCATGAATTATAGACAAAGCCAAATTATATTCAAGATAAAGTTCAACTATCCCTAAAATGATTGAACTAATGTTATTTCTCAGACTTTAGTCGCAAGTTGTGACTCACAGTAACAAATAAAAAATTTCACAAACTACTAAGAAAAGTTTGTAGTTTATAACTTGTGACGTGTCAATTAATATTATGTGTTTAATTATTGTGCAAGGACGATATATGTACGTATGCCAAATTCTATAGAACATGACAATTATACATAGAAACGTCCTAACACAAAGTATAAATATACGATCGATACTAAACCATAGGTCTGCCCTTCTTTCAAACAGTTACAATCCTCGCAAAGAAAGAAACCAAAGAAAATATTAATTACTGAAAGCCAACCAAATAAAAATGTAGTATTAATCCCAACGAGACTGCGTATATTCATACAGTTTTACATTTTTATAAATGTAATATTTTTATAAATTCAACACTAAAGAGAACTCGACAAAGAAACGAAAACTTGTATCGTATAATGAATATTATAATGAATTTTCTGCTTCGAGTAATTTTTATATTTTACACTGCACGATACTGACACTAGAACAAACAAACCCGTCAATTATAATTTCATTTACAATCGTCAGCTGCAATCATGTTTGTCAAAATTAATATCGATTTCCGTGTAAACAGAAACAATTCTATAAATCTGTTCATTTTAATCAATATCGTTTAAAAATTATATTGTTATCGTTTGAAACGTAATTACAACATATACGACGATGTATAAATCATTATAATTATATTTTAAAGGACAACAATTGTATTATTAATAATAATACAATTGTTATCGTTTGAAATGTAATTACATAATGATTTATGCGTTTGCGTACGTAATCCAATGATCGTTATTCCATCCATGAACATCAGCAATCCGATCGTAACGAAGAGAAGAAAAGTCGCTGAACGATTTGAAAGGAAAAAAAAGAAATATCTTCCTCTTCCGCAGGTGAAATGCGTGAAAGACATGACGACGTTGAGCAGCCTACAGGAGAGCGACTGGACGTACTACTCGGAGATGACAGTTCGAGAGTTCTTTCTAAATCCGCACTTCACCACCCTGAGCGTCTACTATTTGTACAACAGGCTCAACGTCTCTCTGTCGTTTCCCATAATCCCGGTGTACGAGCTCACCTACTTCATCAGGCAGCCCCAAGAGATCCTACGAGCGGACACGTTCCGTGATCGCGTGTTGTTCGGCTCGGTGAACGATAAAGTGGAGCACCACGTGCTGTCGGTGGTTCAGAACGTGTTGGCGCCGATCTTCCTTAAGATCGAAACCTGGCCAGACAGTATCCTCTCTCACTCCCGCCCTGTTCACCGGCTTAACTTGTGTTTAATTAGTCGGCGAAAGTTTTCCGTGGAGCACGGGCATCGTAACGATACTTCAACGAGCTGAACCACGAAACTTTCTTGTCCCCTTCGGGATTCTCTTCTCTATTTTTCTCTTTCTCTCTCTCTCTCTCTCTCTCTCTCTCTCTCTCTCTCTCTCTCTCTCTCTCTTTCTGGTAAACAATCTGTCCGCGTAAAACCGCCAGCTGGTAAGTTTAATTGGATGTCGGTGGCGCCTTGGAATCTCCGAGGGACGAGTATCTCGATGGAGGCGTCGATGCTGATTTCCGAAATTCAAACCTGCAAAATTTAGATCCAAGTTACTACTACCAAGGGAGAAACTCGAGTAAGAGGCTTTTGTTTGATTTGAGAATTTTGAGAGTTTGGTATCCGAGTGCGACGATTTTGGTGGTCGAAGTTTTCTTGCCTGCAGCCGAATGATCTCATGTGAAAATATAAGGGAAGAATATAGAATAAGATTTTTTATCTGTGTTTCGAAGTTTAGTGAAACAGGAAAGAGAATTAATGAGACATAAATTAACAACGATTCACTTTTCTCTAACTTTTATTTATATTGTGCACTTTGGCTTTTTCGATGCAAATGTTCTTGCGAAGGACGCGACACAGCTCGAGAAAGTCTGATTTTGAACAAAAGTGGATATCATTTTGTTAATTGAAGAAACGAACGCAATTTAGAGTAATACACTTCTCACCTTCAATCAATGTATGTTCGTTTACGATAATCAATAGACAAGACAAAATTCACAAGAGATACAGCACATCTTTCTATCGTGAAATCATCAAATTGTGAAGATCGTCCAATAAGATTTTCATAATTAACGAAAGACTGTCTGTATAACATTTCGGCGGCTGTGGCTTTTCTGTATCACTTTCTTCGCCTCACTTATTTTTTTTCTCACTGTCACTGACAAAAACACCGGTAAAACGATCTTCCAACAGCTCGCAGCTTTCATTAACGAAAGAGAATCAACAATCGCACGGTCTCTTCAGCTTAAGCTGAGCAACAATCTGACGTGACGACGTTACCAAGCGAATTTGTAACTTCGGCCGCGCAATCCCGGTTACCGCAACGCGTCGCGCGAACTTCCGGTCCAGTGTCGGCCAACAGAGAGAACAGCCACAAGAGAGAGAGAGAGAAGGTGAAACAGGAAGGGTTGGACGAAGTTATTATTACCATAATTTTCAGCTAAATGCACTGCGCAACTCGCCGCCGCCGCCGTCGCCAGTAAATTCGGCGTCGATGTTTGCACATGTAGGAGAGGCGACGAACGACGATGGGATTACTCGGGGCCCGGCTCCGAGTCAGAAACGATTGCATTGCGTTCGGCCGGAAGTCGCCTCATTATTTCTAATGGATCCACGGATTTCTAACTGGCTCGAAAGGGCCGTTCTCCTCTAATTGCGCGGAGGACACGAGCGTTTTAAACGAGGATTCGTTTTCCAACTCTCTCGCTGTTTTTTAGAATCCTAACTTTCAAAATGCGTTGATCAGCATGATTGATCAAACTCTGTGGGCGCTCGTGCACTTGAAGATGCAAGAATTCTTCTCTGAAAGCCAGATTAGGAGAATTGGTATTCTTCCTCGGATCTCTCGTGATTCATGGTTATTCGAATCTCAATTTTTAATTGATGTGACGATCGTTGCGAATTTTGGAAAGTTTAAAAGGAGAAAAGTTCTTTTCTGAGAATTGGATTAGATGAATGGTAATCTTTCTTTTTCTAATTTTTAGTTATTTGAGTCTTAATTTCTAATTAATGAAGTGACATATATATATATACATGTAGATCATTGCGAATATTCATGCATTTACGAGAAGTTTAAAGGTAGAAAAATTCCTAGAATAGTTTTTTTAGTTTTCTTCTCAAATATTTTATGGTTATTTTGAATTCTTAATTGATATGGTTTATCATTAGACTACGAATGATCATGCATTTGTGGTAATAATCTTTGTTTCTTTCTCTCAGAATTGAAATTCGAATCTCTCACGGTTATTTGAGTTCTAATTCTTAATTGGTAGGATTTTCTAATCCGTCATTAAATTACAAATGTTTATTCATTTATGATAAATTTAAATGTTGTGAATATCGTAAATATAAATATGTTTAAATGTTCTAAATATATTTAAAAAATGTTACGTTACGATGCACAATAAGTTTGCAATTAGCCTTTCGATGACGAATATTTCTCTCAACAATTTTCTCTCAACATTCGAACGAAATATAGAATAGAATGTATCCTGGATATATAATAGAATAGAACGAATCCTTTTTCCAAAGTGTATTTCGACAAAACACAGGCTGTCTCAGGTAAAGGGGTCTCTCCTATGAAAATAACTCGAAAAGAAAAAATTGTTTTTCAGGGTGTTCCTTCGTCGGAGCCATTCAAATCGTGCTATGAACATTTTTCATGTCACGAGAAACGAAGCAGATATTTAAGCGACCTCTTTCAGCTGAGACACCCTGTGTAAAAAGGAATCAAAGAAAAAAGGAGTAGAATATCGACAAAGAAGTTTATTCATCTTCCTTAATCTGAGATACATGCGTGAAGGCGGACTTTTACGCGAGCATGTACGCGTTCCTGTGTAACTTAACGGACCTAACGTACAAAATGCAGGGCTTAACAGTGATATATGTACCTCGAGAGGGTAGCGACCTGACCGAGGAGGACAGCCTCGATAAGGAGTTGGTCAAGAGGCTGGAGAGTGTGGTAGCCTACTGGACCACCCAAATCAGGATTACACTCTCGGACCAGGACCAAGCAACACCCAACGAATTGTTATGCCTGAAAGACGAGTACGAATTTTGGATTTATCGACGTTAGTAAAACTACATTCACGCAATTGCAATTAGAATTTCCAAACAGCACTCATCAATATACATCGTATTTTGCTTAATTTTATTTTTGGATATTTGAGCTTCAATAATTTATGTTCAATTTATATTGATATTCCGTACGTTTGAATATAAATTATCTGAACAGGTTCAGACTTCAACGCTGGAATTTTGGTGTCTGAGTTTGAATGGGAATATTTAAATTTAAAAATGTTAGACTCTTGAGTAATATTGTTAATTATAAATTGAGATTATTAATTTATGTTGGATTCCTAAGATTTAGAGTAAGATTTTGAGTATTTATATTCTTAGAGATTAGTATGATAGAACCTTGCTTGTGTAAACTCCTATTTTTTGAATATCTTAATATCAGAATAATTGATATTAGGACAAAATCATTACTAAAATAAAATCCTTATCCAGCCACACTGGGTACTGGACTACAAAGAGTTAAGCCGCCATTTCCTTTCACAAACAAGCTTCCTCTCCACATTTATGCGAAAAGGAAGGAATTTTTTTTCTTTCTTTCTTTCGAACAGACGACAATCTCCGAGGTCTGAATCACCAGCTTCAAAACCCAACGGTAAACAAGATAGCAGAGTTCCTGTTGATAAGTCACTCGACATACGCCCGTCAATTTTTGTCGCTGAAAGACGAGATCGAGAACGGAGTGATAGAGGCGAAATCCAACATCGAGTACCTTCGGATCTTAATAGATCCTTCCGCGGAACTAGATAAATGCACCACGCCATCGAGCATCCAGGAATACCTGATGGTAATCATACACTTGTTCAGAACAATCTGGCTGAATTCACCGTTCTACAACAGCCACGAGAGAATAGAGAATCTCTTCAAGGCTCTTAATAATCAAATTATCATCATCTGTCGGAATTACACCGACTTGAAGGATGTATTTGCTGGGAAGACCAGAAGCTCCATAGAAAAGTTGCAGGAGAGCGTGAACGTCTGTAAATACTACAAATCACTCTACGACAAGGTTAATGTTAATCTGTTTCTTTGAGTATTTGAACCAAAAATCGGCGGCAAAAGTGGGCTGACTTCAATATTTTAAAGATTGACGAATTTGTTGTTTAAAATTGATAATTGAATGCAACACTCTTGCAGCTTTCTGTGAAAGCACAGAATCAAAAATTAAATTATTTGCTAAAAAAAAAAAAAAATATAGCAGTGATATGTTTCAATTTTTATTATAATTAAATAGATAGTGTTACTTCATCGGATCAAAGTTTCAAGTTTTATAAAGGACCTCAGTTTCGATCATTCGTGGTTCGTTTAGATTCTGAACAAAATTATTATTTATATTATTATACTATATATAAAGAATAATTCTTATCCAATATAATAAATAAGATATAAATAATATTATTTACGTTATTTATAAGAAACAACTGGATGCTCAAATTCTTAAACTTCAAAATCAACTCAATTACCATCTTAAATAAGATATTAATTTCCAGTTTAATTTATTATTTATCAACTAATTGGACAATTCTTATCCGATATAATTGGATAAGAATAAATATAAATATCATTTATATTATTTATAACAAATAATTAGATACTCAAATTATTAAATTCAAATTTAAAAGCTCAAACTCAACTCAATTGTCAACTCGAACTATTAATCTATCATTATTGAACAGTACTTCTTACCATTAAATTCTGAATAAATTTCACTCGACTCTCGTACAACTTTTCAAATCAAACGTAGATACAAGCAAACGTCTTGATATCTTTCCAACGATATCACACAAGCTCACAGCTTTATAGAGAAACTTGCCTCAGTCCACTTTTGTTCTAAATGCCTGTGTGTTCTTCGTTAATCGTTCGATAATCAGTTTTCTTTTTCTTTCTGAATGTGCATACTCTCGGAAGATTGTTTGAACGTTCGCCGTGTTATCGCGTACAAATTCACTCTACGGTCGGTGCATTAAGGGACTATTAAACGACGTGTGCAGAGTTACTTTGGATACTTAGGAAAGAGCCGTTAGGCAAAGTGAGGAGTTCCCGCGTTAAGCGGAAGTCACAGTAATTGTACCCTCCCTTTGGCCGGTTCACAATGATCCCCATGAACGCGGGAACACGGCTCCTACCCCTGTTAAAATAATATTCGCCGAGGCGAGCGGCTCGAGCCTGCAATTAATCTTATCTTCCTTTAATCACGGCGAATCGTGGTAAAACAACACGCGAGCATCCCCCGTGCTACGTGCAAATGAGCGTCGAAGTATTCTTAACTCTCGTACCTTACGGCTGATAATTTTCGTATTACCGACGATAATTAACAGAAAAATCTGTTGGGAAAATATGATGAAAACAGATTGGTGGATGTTCGCGCATATTTATGGGGGAATTAAACGCGGAAGAATGCAGAACGTACGATGTATAAAATGTTGAAAGCAAAGTGCTCGATACTTTACGATATTTCGACTTCGTTTCTTCGATTGCCTTCATTAAACTACGAATCTTTATGCAATATAAAATTGCATAAAGATTCGTAGTTTATTAGTGAATATACGTAGTTTAACAGTGTATACGGACGTTTCTATTGCTTACAGTGAGGAGTATAATTGTAGCAATAGCAATGAAAAATTGTCGATAATTTAAACTAGTAGAACTTTGAAAAATTGTCATTTTAAAGCGTGAAGCTTCTACTTTGACAATCGTAACGTCATTTTTCTTCAAAGATGACATTGCACTATGTAGCAGATGGCAAAGTTGAGAAATGAAAATTTCGAGAAATCCTAATATTTTGTCATTTTGATCCTAATGACCAAAAGTTCAATGAAACGTAACGTGAATATTATGTTTCTCATTTAAACATGACCTGTTGAATCTAAATTGGAATCAATTAAAACTTCACAGGATTGAAACACTACGTTTCCATCATTGTAGCAACTTATTATTGTTATTAAAATAAAGAGTTTCTGAAAGTTTCGCGCACATCTGCATCGCGGATATTTATGCAAATTTTTGAAAATGTATTTAAAGAGCTGGAATCTCAAAAGAAAATGCTTTTACGAATGAAAGTACTATACCTTGTCTGTTTTACGTACTTTCTCGTATTATGCATATCTCGTATTATGCTTTTCAATTTCTTACGAACGCGTAAAAATCCGCAATCCACTGTACAAAGTATCGATTTCTGCAGAGAAGATTTTATTAATTTAGATTGAAACAGAATTTCACCCTGGCCAATGGCTGCGATCGTATCGGATTAGGTATTGGATTTTTGGATTAGGTTAAAAAATAGGTTGGGGGATGTAAGCCGAGAAAGCCGAGAGGCAGACGTTCAAAAATAATTTGTCAATCCTGGGATTAACGTTTTATCCCCGAGTGCAACGAAGGTGGCATGTTGTCGCTGATGGGGGCCTGTCTCTCCCTCTGAAACCGGGTCAAGTTTTCACGTTAAGCGGAAGTCATAGTAACCTCGACTTAGGTGCTTCCCGCGTGGTTAGATAAGCGTCGACAGGAATGAGAATTACCACGGGCCACGTATTGTATTTGTAATAGCTGCTCTCGCCAACAGAAAATGCCGAAATGCCATGATAAAAAGTGACTAAGATCAGAATTTACCTGATTTTATCAGCGAAAGGTTTTAATAGGATTATATATTTCCAAGTTATTCATGGAGGCTCGAGTAATCCTCGATTTCTGAAAAATCTTCGCCGTTTTTATTCTGTACAATGAACGAACATTATACAGAGAAAAAATGTGACAGATCTTCTTTTATATTTCGTGACTTTTGTACGCTGTTCAAAGTTGAGAAAGACAGGAATTATTTGAAGAAAAAGCACACCTGAGATAAATTTAACACTGGAACTACCGACGACTGAAAAATAAAATTTGTAACGGAGAAATTAAGGTGCATGAAACAGGAAGAAATTTATAATATTTTATTAAAAATCATTCGAGCTTCTGAAAGCACACTGTTATAGATATATGAAATTTCTATGAAAAATTATAATTATAAATTGTAACTTATGATAAATTATAAATCATTCCGATCGTTTTGGTAGTTCTAGAGTTTTCAAGATACTCGAGAAATATTTTATTAATCTGCTTAACTAATATCGCTGTTATCTGTTAAATATTCAGGAAGATAATAAAATTTATTTTCAATTCATTTAATATAATATTAATGGACAATATGTCGAATTTTAAAATTGCTCTTCCGTGGAAAATTAAAAGTATCTTTGAATTAGTCTCATAATAATTAATTTCCTTCCAACATAGAGAAATCTTTAAATCATTCTCTGTCTCTCTGTGAAAACAATCGTGACCCAATTTGTTGAAAAACAATGGCCACAGCGGGACGATGGTGCAATCGTAACGAGACAGGGAAATAATATTGCGTTTTCGATATTTCAATTGTTTATGAAGCTCTCGAAAAACGAATCGAGTGCGTCTCTTTCAAAAATGAAGCCACGACCTCGCGATTGATTGTTCGGCTAAAAGTAGAAAGAAAAATGCAAGAAAACTAGTATAATAAAATCACACGCTCGAACGCTTTGAAATTGAATCGCCTGCCTTGATATTCCAAGTGGTGTTACTAGAGTGATGTTTGACAAGGGAAAATTTGCATGGATCTCAACTTTATATAGAAAATTTCCATGCTCAATATAATGATGAAAGTATCCGAAGGATACGTAGACACTTTCATTGGAATAATGTCACGAATCGAACATACTTATTATTTAGTAATCTGATGGCACTAATTTTTTTTTAAATTGTCTCTTTATATTCGAGACTTCTTGTATTTTCGACATCGCGTACAAATACCTCACTTTCAACTCTTGTCAGAAATAAATTCGAGATCTACTTCATTCCGAAAATTTTTCATGTATTTTCGAAAAAATATCTACTTTCAGAATTCTACTGGGAATAAATTCGGAATTTGCGATACTGTATACGAAACAATCGGACTGTGGATTTTCATGCATTCATTGGAAATTTAAAGATACAAAAACGCGTGGAATATGGTGCGCGAAAGTACAGAAAGTATTTCGAAGCAATTGTTACGATACTAAATAAGTGAAACAAACTGCGGCTGAAATTTCGATTTTCCAGCCATATTCGTAGCTATTCTTCGACTAAATTAAAATTTAAAAATATACTACACGTAGTGTTGATAATTCAGAGGGTAAACAAGAAGTAAATCAAATTGACTAAATATTGAATAAATATTTTAATCGTGCGAAAAGTAAATAGTAAGCATCGGCAGATAGTACTATTGACTATTCTGTACGACTGAATTTATAATAAAAAAGCACGAATAACTCAAAGGACAAAAGATCAAGGCGAAATAAAATAGACAAACATCTTGATGGCGCAAAACGGGGATGGTACGAGCGAATTATGACACGATACATGTTCGTTCACCCCTGATAGATCGAAACGAATGTGTACACCATCCTGTGGGACTGGTGGAGAACTGTTTCCACTGGCAGAGCCGCCGATAATACAGAATAAAATGAAACAAGAGCGCAGAGACGGTGAAATAAGGCTCGTTTCACTGCTTAAAGTTTTCACACTCTCCCTTGCGGTTTGATTTCGAACGCGTCGCCTCCGGTTAAAGCTGAATATTAAACGAGCGACGCAACACGAATGGGGACTGTGCGTATGGTATAAATTTCACGACGAGAAGATTATCCACGAACGAGATAGAAGCGCATCTCTGTGTGTTTTGTCTTTCAGATAGCGCTAGCCCACAACACTCTGACGAACATACCGTGGGATTTAAACAGGGACAATATATTCCAGCATATTGATATTTTCATTAGCAGGTGCCACGACATGATCGAGATCTGTCAGGCGATGATCGATATTGCCAGGTAATCAATCCGCATCTCTTCACATCGACCAACGACCCGTTGAGGAATTGACGTTACTTATACTCTCGCGTTAACACTATCTTTTCACGAGCAAAATGACAGATTTTTTTTTATTTTTTTCATTCTACTCGTGTGAAACAAGTATTATTTTTTTTCTTTTTTATCGTGAATTTTATATGTTTTTATATTTGAACGCAGAAGTTTCTCGAGTCGCCTTGCTTTTAATTTGACAAACAGATATAATTATCTGCCTGTTGTTGAATTGGATATATTATAAATTTTGGGGAAGAGAATTCAGAACAATGAGAAATTGTAAAATTTAGAGGAAAAGATACTAAATAAATGCGTTATAAGAAAATTCTAAACTTCGGATGATTAAAGATATCTACATCGTTCAAGGCTCTATGATCAATTGAAATTTCCAAATCAAGATGAATCAGGAAAATGACTAACAATGGGAAACGGTGTGTGACAGAATAGACGAAACGACGGAGATGATGAAGCCAATGTTCAGTGGAACGAAGGGAGAGGAACGAGAAAGGGTGTGTCAAAAGATCGAGAGACTGTTTCACGAGGCATTGGGGAGGATCGAGCAAAATTCTCACAAGATCTTCGACGTTTATCACGGCACGTGGCACGACGACATGTTCGCCTTTCACAACGAGATGAAAGATCTAGAGGTCATCATCGAGAACCTGGTCGTGTCAGTTTTCGCGCGTATGAACAGCGTTCAAGACGCGGTTGGAGATCTTCAGGGTTTCTACCCGTACATGAACCGCGAGAAACTGAAAGCTCTGTTCGATGCTAAAACACTCGAGGTACTAAAGTTATGAAAATTTCAATTTCCGGTGTTGGAAAATGATCGTTAAATTAGAACTTGTTTCGTTTATTTATTGTTTCGTCGATAATTATCTTGAAATTACAGCTATATCTTCAGACGAAGAAAATCTGGAACTTCTAAATATTTAAGGAAACCTCTTCCAGAACCTCTTGAGACTGCCAGACTTGCAAAAATTATAGGGGAAGATTTCTGTTGCAGATATGGAAACTGTTTGGCGAAGATATCCAACGAACGAAGCAGGAGGTACTGAACGAAATGGAGGAGTATCCTTCGATGACTCCGTATTATGCAGGCAGGGCATTGAACCTACGGCTGAAAGGTGCTCACGTGCAATCAACAAGAGAGGTGCTCGAGGAGGCCGTGTGGATGCCCTATTGCAACCTTAGCAAAGATATCTACTATCAGCACGACCTGCTGAAGAAATCGATCGAGGATTTGATCGTCGATCTGTATGCCAAGTGGGTGCACGAGGCCGGTGATAATCCCCGTGTCAAGCTGGATCGTTTCCTCATGCGACGCACCGACGAATCGCCTGGATTGCTCCGGTGCAACATCAATCCAGACATTTTGAACTTGTGCCGCGAAGCCGCCTACTGGATCGCTCTTAAATTCACCATACCTGTCCAGGTGCAAATCGTTTACGATAAATGGGAAACACTTCATTTCGTTTACGAGAGCGTCCTTGCTGTAACTATAGGCTACAATAAGATGATCGAGGGTTAGTTCAATTTACATTTAAATATTTCATTTGAACATGCGTTTCAGAGTGAAGAGTGTTCCTTCAGTTCGTAAGAAAACTGATGATGAGTTTGATTATGCGTTTAGGTCTACTTATTTGAAAAAAGTATAAAAAAATTTTAAATCACTTAATGATAGTTCCTCGCTATATTATACGATGAGTGTTAAAGTCAAATTTTGGAAACGTTTCTCAGGAAAAATGAAAATTTGCTTCGAAGAATTCATCAAGTGAAATTTTGATCGCTCAGGGCGATTCAAGGTTATTGATTCCCTGTAGAGGATTAATAATCTAAATATATTTTGACCATTCTTTCCTTTTTATGAGAAAGGTATAATTTTGACATTGTTGATTGGCATATTGTAAAACAGCTAATTTTGCCGAAAATGTATGTGTTTATCAGTTAATGTACAATATTGCTTGTACGCAAACGAGAGAAGGTTAATTACAATCCATATTCGCAGGGGATATGTTGAAACCGCGAATGGCAGGGGACATTATGTATTTAGGGGACATAATGTAATTTCAATTACATACACGTACATATGTATAAATTGGACACGATAATTAATAACAAAATATGGTGATAAAAATCAGGTGATTATAGGTATTGTCTTGAAGATATTATTTTCTTTTTTGTAATTATGCGATCATAGTACAATTTCTGTGTGATTAGATGAATTGAGAAGAATGAATCGACTAAATTCATACTAAATTGTAATTTTCAGTTAAACTATTAATTTCTATAACGGTGGAATTTCGTTTCGGAAGCGCGTGTAATTGAAATCGGACGACATTAAATTTAAACTAAATTACAACAAAATTTCAAATAAATTTTACCTAATGCTCAATTCATTTTTAGTAATTTTTATTTAAAATTATTAATATTTATCAATTAATAAGTATTACTACAAGTTTCTTACTAATTAATTAATTATAACAAATTTAGATTGAATTATTTATTTACTGTTTAAATTATTTTTTCTTATGACAAGTGTATTCACAAGTATACAAAGAAATGATCATTTCTTATACACGTCAAGCACTATATTAAAGGATTAATAGGAATTTTAACAATACTTAAGTTCTTTTATTTTATTATTTTTAATTATCTAAGTGTTTCAAATTTAATCATAAAATTGCAGTAAGTGAAACTGTGGATACATATGAATAGAAGTAAATTCTAGAATGAAATTAAAATAAATATTAAATGTTATAAATTAAAGATAACTAGAGGTAGATTGATTAGTCAATCTTGAAATTATTTCAGTCACTTATTCTCATTACTTAATCTTGAAGTTATTTCAGTCAACTATTATTTAGTCAATCTCGAAATTATTTCAATTAATTATTAATTGAGTTTGTCAATACTTGGCTAATCAATTTAATATTGAGTTTCTTAATAGTTAATAATGAATAATTAACAAACTACTTCTTAAGATCCTAAGTGGTATTAAGACGACGTTATAAATTAAGCGCGATTACGTTTCTGTATATTAGATTGTTGCATATTATTTACCAAGGAAAGTAAACTGATTGAAAACTAAAATTTTTATTAAAAAAAATTCGGTCATTTGTAACGACCTAATGTCCCATAATTTCTTAACTTTTGGCTTTCTTCTTCTTCGTCAACGTCTATCGTTTCGATTATAAAACTCATGGCGCGTGATTAATTGAAATTCGCTAAATTGCTTCTCCCAAAGTCGCTACCTAATGTTCCACGTCACGGCAAATTCTATTAAACGTATATACATTTTCTGATGCATCGGGTCTGGTGAATACATCAAGTTGCAAAGTAATAATTAGTGGCGCAACTTCCGGTCGGACCTCCATTTCCCAAAGACCGCGGCGCATTCGCCATTCACCGCAATGAATCGATACTTTCATCGATCGGTAAATAGTTCTAAATTTATTAGAAAGTATACGAATTTATAGCTTCGTGTCTAGATCGTATTAAGCTGTTACAGACGAAATGACGAAATTTGTGATTGAAATTTCAATTTCTATACTTCTCTTCAAGATAGTATTAACCCTTTGAACGTTTGATCCTGTTAGAGTATTATACAGGTAATCTGAGATGTTTGAAATAATTAATTTATTTACTAATATTAATAGTTCGAAAAAGATAACATATCGAAATATATTGATTCAATCAAAATGAGTTACATTTAAAGACGAATTCATCCTTTGTTGCATGTTTCTCATTCCGATATTAAACTTACACAGAAAGATTAATTGAACTTTGACTATCTAGATTCGATAAATTTTGTACAAAAATAATTTTACAATTTTTAGTCAATCGTTGTTGATGGTCTTATAGTTAACGTTTGTATTTCCTAATTGAAATTCTTTGCACAAATTCTTCGTAGATTGTCTATTCTTTCAATTATAGTTTTGTTTTTAAAAATGTTTTATAAAATATTCGCTGAAATTTAATGACTCCAATACCTATAAAATAATTGACAAAGTAGCAATCATGTTGAATTCGTCGTTCCAAATTCTAAATCGAATGTCTAATAAACATATGATAATTAATATCACTTTTTTGATCACGAAATTCCGAATTATGAAATCTCGTGAAATTTTCCATTTCACATGTAACAATCGTCATGAAACATTTTGAAATTTATGCGTTATAAACGTATTTAATGTACAGGCATTTTAAATATGTGATAAATAAATACGATCCTTCCGGTCACTAAGGTTTATCAGTGTAGTGATTAACCGATTGCTCGAAAGAAATATACATACGTACATGTACATTTGTGCGTGACGAAACAAATTCTAGGAAATGTTTCGAAGTTTCGAGCGTTGAGGGTTGCACGAACTTCCCATTTGTATATCGAGTCCTGGAGATTGCGAAATAGTTGGTCAAGTACATCTGCTCGGGGAAATGCCTGGCGCGTCTTCCGGCTCGCTTTAAACATGCCACCGCTGGCGTTATTATCGACTGGAGAATCCAAGCCGCGATTATAAAACATCCAGATGGTAGATAGAAAGTTTACGAACGAGAACTAACGCTAAATTATCCCAGTTAATTGAAAAACCGTGCGCCCCCCGATCTCCTCGGAATTCCTCGTGCCGAGAACTTGTTTTCCCCGGCGATGAATTAATTTCCTCCTCCAAGGTATCACGCCGACGTGCGTTTCTCGAGTTCGAGTGGGCGATCGACAAAATAAAAAAACGAGTTCGTTGAAATTTCATTGACCTTACAACGGTAGTTACATGTAAATGAAATCGGATTGTTCGCTGTCTGGACGCGTACCTCGGCGCCGGTTAACTATACAACGTTGCGCCATCAAAAAGCTCGCATCATTTGAAATAAAAAAAGAGAGAGAAAAAAAAAAGAAAAAAAAGATCCGTCGCAACGAGAGACTTTTAAAATGATCCGCCAAATGGTAATCGAACGCACGCCAGAACGAACAGATTCGGATAATCGCGTTTCTGCCGCGGTGAACCGTGTCAAGCGCACACCCGCTCCCGTATAATGCACATATAGTTATATATATTGTTGTTTTTCAGCTTTGTCGAGGACAGAGTGCGAGCTGTTCCGCGAACTAATTCGCCAGGTAGACAGGAAGATCAATCCCGGCTTAAACAGGCTGACATGGAACACGGAATACGTGGACGCATACATCGAGGATTGCTTTAACCAAACGGCAAATGTACGCTTCGTTCCGTCCTTTCTCCACCCCCTCGCCAGTTCACCATCGGCTATCGTCCTCTTTGTCCAACGTGGAAACGTGGCTGGCAGAGGGCGACGCCTATACGCGTCGCAGAAATTTATGCAGCGGGTCCGGCTCTGTCCTGGCTCGAAATTAAATTTTGACCGAGCCAAGTGCGGGATCCGTCCGCAGCCTTTGTTTGTTTAATTAAGCAAGAAGTGCGCGCGCGTGCCGGCGAAACGGAATAACAATAGCGGATATCCGAGGCCGCGTTTGTGGCCATTCGTTACCCTGTTCAAATCGACGGAACTCGGTCCGGTCGAAGGACAGTGCCGGACAGGACACCGCGTCGTCGTCCACCCATCGTTACTTATTTTCTTCTCTTAACGTTAGTGTAACGAGTCGTTTATTCTTTACTGACGTTTAACGAACACGACAATATGAATACGTTTGATGCAAATCATTTTCGCTCGAATTTAGAAAGCACGAGTGAAAATGATCTTGCCATTTTCCCATCGTTACTTATTTCCTTCTCTTAACGTTAGTGTAACGAGTCGTTTATTCTTTACTGACGTTTAACGAACACGACAATATGAATACGTTTGATGCAAATCATTTTCGCTCGAATTTAGAAAGCACGAATGAAAATGATCTTGCCATTTTCCCATCGTTACTTATTTCCTTCTCTTAACGTTAGTGTAACGAATCGAACAGCTTTGCGAAAGGAATCTTTAAAAACTATGTATTTTTTTTTACGGAAGAACAGCTTTGTAAAGGAATCTTTTAAAACTATGATTCGATCCTTAATTTGTATCAGCAAACCGAGCTTGAGCTGATTACGAGAGGAAATGATTATTCAAATAATATACTACCTTATTTGACTCGATGTTATCTTGAAATAACCAAGATTAGGTTTTTTTTTTGTTTTTAGTTTACTTGGCCACACAAATGATTTTTCTCTAAATTATTTGACTGTATTTTTTATTCACTTTGCCTCTACAAATAATTTCTGAAACAGCATTTCCAATTCTGTCGTAATAAACTTCACCGTCTATTGAGATTGTTTGTCATTTTGTTTCAATGAATTCAACTCGAATGGAAGATCATTTGCAAATAATTCATTTGATTTGGTCCCAAAGTAAAGTTACTTCCAAATGAGAATAACAAATTAGTTGAAACGATTAGTTATTTCAAATTGTTACTTTTCTTTTTATCTCTGTTCTAAATAAACTTAGTTTTGAAATTTTTTTACTCCAACTTTATTTAATTTTATTATTTTCTATGATACATAATTTCTATCGCAAAGTATATAAAATATCAAATAGAATCAGACATCTTAAATTATAACAATCTGTCATAAATTGCTATGGTCGGTTATATCCAATCATCTGTAGCCGATAAGACTACTTAAGTTCCAACACTTTGCGGTTCGCAATCTACGCGATAGCACAATGATTATACATTATGAACGCTAATTTCTAAAGAACTGCTCAAGCTAAAGCATCGAATATTCAACATCGCAAGTTCTAACTTGTCCTAAATAATTAATGACAATCAATGTTGTTAAATGCTTAATAGCCAACTTTGTTAATAAACCGCAGAGTGTTAATGTTAATAATTAAACGTACAGACTTTTGTGAGACACATACATACATACGTTCTCCCGTAGCTTCAAGAGTTCATCGACGTTTATAAAGAATCGAATCATCATATCACGAAGATATGCGAGAATATTTGCAATACGCCGCTGATCAAAATCAGGCCTAATTACACGTATGCTCTGGAGGAATTGCAGCAGGAATTATTAAAAACCAGGTATAATTTGAGTGTAGTATGTTTCGAAGGATGAATTTGTAGAATAAATTATTGAATATGTATAATGGATAATAATTCAAGGGACGTGACTTTCAAAATTCTTCTGGGCTATCATAAAACCATCTTTCAGTACGTGCTGATTATTTTCGATGGATTTAAGGACGTTCTCGAGGATGTAAGTGTTTGAATACAATTGTTCTTTACTCTTAATACTTTTATTTCTTCATTTATTCATTTATTGTGAAAATACATGACTAATTAGTAACCAAACGATTAATCTTGATAATAATAATTAATTTAACTTCTGCGTGACTGAATTTTGCCTTCATACAGTCTACGAATTTTTACGTTAGAAATCTCGTTAATAACTCTTATATTAATTTTAATTTAATATTAATTTATATTAATTTTAATTTAATATTAATTTAAATTAATTTTAACTTAATATTAATTTAAAATAATATCAATTTTAATTATAGTAAAAATAGTACGTTAGAAATCTCGTCAATAGCTCTTATATTAATTTTAATTTAATATTAATTTAAATTAATTTTAACTTAATATTAATTTAAAATAATATCAATTTTAATTTATAGTTTTACAATATTCATACATATATCGTAACAATAGGAAATAATGACTCGAGAATAATGACGAAAAGATCAATCTTAACAACAGTCATAGAAAAGGAAGGTCCTTGTGAATGCACATTCTCACGGACGTAAGATGTTTCTAGATATTCAGTTCTCTGGGTGTTCAGAATGTTTAGTATCCTTTCGCGTCGTGTTTGCACGACAAAGCATCTGCCCATCGCGGAGAAATGATTTTCATAAGGAACATTTTATTAAAATATTTGAAACGAACAAACGTCCGCGAGTGAAACGTTCTTAAACACGATGAAGTAACAAAGAAACAGAAGAGGCGTCGTTCTGTCCCGGCGATTTCATTCTCGCTCGTTTCTCCCTCGCGTCGGCAACAAACGCGGCCATTCACGGTGTAAAATCCCCGCGAAACGTTCACGTGTTATCCCTACAGGCTATACAGCGCAATTTTTAACGCCACTGCAACCTGAAAACGCGGGACCAGACCGATTCGCGTAACGACATGTCGCTGCGTGACGCTATTGCCGCGAGAAACACGTATGTACAAAAGGTGGACACACACTCGAATATTCGCGCACTCGATGAAACATTATCATCGATACTTCGAACTGTCTCGACTTCGTGAAAATTGTGCAAAATTCTATTTATTTTAAAACCACTATTTCTCATCAACCTTGAGTTCTTTTTTTCTAAAGATTTACAGAAGGTGAGAAAGTAGAGATACTTTCGTTGTCGAAAATAGTAAACATTGTAAAACACCTCGAGAATTGCTGAAAAGTTTTTTTTTTTTCCATTACTAGATTTATCATAATCTTGAAGATTTATTAAAGTCTCTCCTTTATATCGACTCCTTAAAATTTGCTGTACGATTCTTGTGCGTTATTTTATTGAATCTTGAACATCAGAGTTAAAAGAAATTCGAGAAATCCTAATATTTTGTCGTTTGATCTTAATGTTCAAAGTACAATAAAATGACATAATGAGAAAAAATCGTACACAGCAAGTTTCAAGAGATTGTTGTAAAAAGGAGACTTCGTTCTTTAAGACGATGTTAGATTTATTCGTGAAAAAAATTTTTTATTGCTTCCAGAGGTATTTGAATTTTTACAATTTTCGAGAATAAGAATGTTCTTGCACTCCCATTTTTTACATGATGTAAAAATATCTTTGAAAAAGATTAATATCAAAGTAGTCGCTTTATATTTTAAAATGAAATTAACTGGATTGTTATACAACGTTTCTTTGTGAACTTATAACAAACAATTTTTTTATCAAGTGTGCGAATACTTTTTAAATCGGTAAGATAATATAATAAATCAAATTTTGTAGATTCGTAGAAAGTTATTTTCCATTTCATTTATTAGTGTATAGTTCTTGTTAAGACAATGTTGATCTAACGCGACACAATATGAAATAATATAGTACAGTGTAATGTAATCAAAGTAGATAGTGAAAACTTTGATGTGGATCTGTCGTTCGCACGCTAAAAAGTAATAATACAGACATCCAAGAATTGGAAAATAAATATTAATTTCGCGACTGTTATTATTTTTGGAAATTGTGTTTTTTAAACATAGAAAGCTTTTAAAATTTTAAAAGCATTTCACTTTAAAAATTTCTAAATTAATCCGCCGGAAAAAGCTGCGTTTGCCGTTCTTTTAAAATTACTCGCAATTAAATTTCGAAATTGCTCCTATGCGAAAGGCGAATAAATTTCTCAGCAATCTCAATGCAAAATTTCGTGAAACATTCTGTACTAATGTCTTGCACTAATTCTAGAAAATTTTTATCTTTTGTTTTGGTTGATAATTATTTTTATAATACCCTCGTAAAACTGTCGCCTTTCAACAGTGTTTGCAAGAGTGGAAGATGTATTTGACCAGGATGGACATACTGATAGGCGCGGCTTTCAAGATGTGCCTGATCGAATCTCTGCAAGCTATGCACGTTGCTCTTCACGGCGATGGTACCACGCCACCATCGCCACTCATTTTAATACACGTAGAACTTATAGACAATAAGGTACATCTTTTCAGTTTGATTGTAAATATCCAATCGATTCAATTGTAATTACAATTTAATTTGTAATTTGATTTAATTTAATTTAACAAAGTTTATTCGTCCACGAAAGATAAGAAGTTGAAACGAGAATGAAGGTTGAAACTTAAATTCTAACTTTTCTAGATCAAATTCTTACCGGATCTAAGCGAGATCGCCATGGAGTTTTCAGTGATCTTCGACAATCTTTTAGATCCTTTGAAATGCTTGACTCAACTGATAAACAATTTCAAATTCGACTTCCAAGTGCCGCCATTCTGGAAGATGTACGAGAAAGATCCAGAATTGCTGGATCTTCAACAGAAACTCAACGATGGTTGTAACATTTTCTCTTGCTGTTTTTTTGGAATGATTTTATCAACGTTTGATAAATATTAAATATAACTTCGTTTATACCGAATTTTCAGAGGTGAACGTCTGTTTCGTTCAAGTGCAAAACTACCTGAAAACTTGGGAGCCCTTTCAGGAAGTTTGGGAAATGAACAGAAACATGTATCTTCAGAGGTATTCACAGAGATTCAAAACAAAAGATATTCATCCAACCTAGGATTTACTTTACAAAAATCTCACAGAAAATCATTTATTCTTTTAATTATTGATTTAGTAAAAGAATAGACTGGAATTGCAGAAAATTTGTCCCAGCTAGTATAAAAAGCATTGTAATTGAAATCAAGCAGAATTAAGTTAACTAGTAAAATAAAAATCACTTTACGTAAACTCGAACGCAATTAATTCGGGATATGTCTTTAAGCGATTAACCATTTTGAAAGCTACGAAATACAAAATGGTTCAGTTAAAAAAAAGAAATGTACCTAAATGTCTCTCTCATTTATTATAACATGATAAATATTCATAGTGCAATTTGAATGGATTTAACGAAGAGGCATCTTGAAAAACAAGTCTTTTTTTTTGTCAGATTATTTTCTCTACGAGTTTTCAAGATTATTTCTTTTTTTTAAAATGTGTATTTTTTTCAGTTTTGCCAATGAATAAAATAATTTATATATATTATAGCTATCAGATAATCTTGAAAACCAACAATTTAACTGCTTGTGTTGATAAATATACGGATTTACAAAATCTGCGATTAGATACGAGAAATTGAAGCCTACGGCGGAGACGTTCGATTCAGATATCAGCAAATACGCGATGATAGCGAACAGCGTTCAGATGCAGGAAACGTTGATGACTGTCCACTTCCTCGATATAAACGCCGATCGGCTGAAAGGCGCCATCATCGAAGAATGCTCAATTTGGCAGCAGAAGTTAATTGACGTTCTGTTTCGGCAAACGGAGAATATGGTCACGCACGTGTACCACTATATCGCGGATAATTCTAAGAAGTTAGTTCCAACTAAATTATTTCCAAATCTAAATTAAAAGTTAGAGACCTAAGTTGAAAGTTAGAAGTCTAAATCCAACGCTGAAAGAATGAAACTCGGATCGCGGGGTAGAAAGAAGTTTATAGATACAATAAAATATGCAAAATTTAATTCGCGTACTTTACGAGACATAATTGAAAATCATTGTCGCGAGTCCATGAAATTTCAGTGAAAAAAGAAATTTTGCTTTGCTCACTCCGATTGTAGTGTTAAAAGAAAGAATATAATTGAGGTTTTTAGGTAATTATCTCTCATTATATAATTTACAAGTGCGTGGCGAAAAGAATTACGAAAATTTTTCGTAATTTTTTCACAACGCTTCACCTTGCACTATGATTTAATCTGTATGCAATCTACATTCATCCGTTACAAAATCACAAGTCTAAATGTGAATAGACTACTTCTACAAACTTCTACTAAATTTCCCATCCAGTCGTAATCTAATAATAAATTCGTTAATTCGTAGAATAACGAAAGAGCCGACAGATATCGTCAGCATGCAGTACGCGATGCAGCTGTTCGAGAAGCTGTACGCCGATATTCCTCGAGAGGAGGACGAATTCCCGAAGATCCACGACCAGTACCAGACTTTAGGTAAACGATTTTTAATTCTAAACGATTCTTAATTTCCTCGCGCAAGGAGAGATCGATAGATACACCGTAAGATCAACGATGCTCCTTTTATTCCTGCTGCAAGTGCCTGCTGACTTTAATTGTTATGCGTCTCGTCATTTCTATTCGTTCTCCTTTTCTCGATGCAGAGAAGTACGAAGTGAGCATGACGTACGATTTCAAGCGAAAAGTGCACGACATACAGCTCGCCTGGAACGCGTATCTGGCTCTGCTCGAAAAATCCAAATACATGCTGAAGCAAAAGAAGGCGAGTGTTCGTTTGGCACTCCAATTTTTGTCCAAATAAATTCGTTACGTTTATCTATGTGTCATTTGGAAGATTCGAAGTTTATTTGCAAGTTTGATTATCTATTTTAGGAGGAATTCAAACAGGTGTTACTGCAAGATGCCATAATGTTCCAAGAGGAGGTGTTGGCTCTGGTTGGAAAGTTTTTCGACACTGGACCATTCACATCTGCGTGGACCACGACAAGTGAATATATTCGTGATATATTCGTTGGATAAATGAAAAACTAATCATTTCTAATGATTCTCGATCTCAGACAAAAATTCTTTCACATTTACATTTTCATCGGTGTTGTTTAATTTATTGTTATCACTTCTTTAATTTTTTTTTATGTTAATGAGCTTCTCCATTAAACAAACAAATTAACATCAATTTTAAGATGTTTTTAGAAAGTAGTGTAGACCGATTTAGTTCCCGAGTGGCTTAAATATACACACAAAATTGAAATTACGTTTCAAAGTATGAACAGTTTGATGCAAAAGCGGTGTAAGTCAATTTTACGCATATTTGATTTCGACAGCATGTTTCGAAAGTTTAAGCCCCATTCTATTTTGTGCAGAAATGGTGTAAGGTATTAACGTCACAGTGATTCGCACTCTTTGACGCTGTTGTATTTTACGGAACTTTCATACTTCGTGCCTCATTATTCAGAAATTAACTCTTTCGACTTACATCACTTTTGCATTAAACGGCTCGTGTATTAAGGATCATAAGCGCAAAGCATAATAAATCACGTCTGTCCTTTTTCTACATTCAAATGTATTCGTCGATGAATGTTTCACTAGCAGCACCATATTTCTATTTGATCTTCGAACTAGTAAAAGAAACATTGATAGGCATTAATTGGTTCCTTTGGTTTTATACTGGGTGCTTCAGGAGGAAGCTCAATAACTATGTCACTTGCATTTCAAAAAGTAAATATTACTTTGTATAATTGAAATGCAGAAATAACTTTTTACTTTTTGTATATTTTTTTAAATTAAAGGAGATATTCAAAATGACAGATTTCCTCCTGTGAACATAGTTCTACTCGAAGATTTAATGATCGTTGCCAGTCCAATTTTATTAATTTCATTTTGTTAACGACATGTATTAGATTATTGTACACTGCTTTTACATTTTGAACATTCTCTTTAATTTATACAAACGAAAAAATATAAAACATACGAAAAATAATATTTATTTCTTGAAACAAATCAAAAATAGGTGAATCAAAATTCGTAGTATGTATGATTTTTTTTTATTTAGAATGATCTACCAAACACACTGATAAAGTTATTCCTTCCGAAACATCCTGTATAATTAAATACTAATTTTTACCTGTATAATTAAATACTAATTTTTACATGAGTCGTACAATAGTGTGTTTTATCACAATAAATGCGTAAACGTACAATGTGTTACCAAACGAATGAATGCTTTGTTCTCCAACAAACTCGTGCTCATTTATTTTACTGACGTTTAATGAACATAACAGTATGAATACATTTGATGCAAATCATTTTCGCTCGAATTTAGAAGCCACGAATGAAAATGATCTTGCCATTTTCCCATAATAATTTCTAAATTACACATGATTGAACTCTGTTTTATTTCTAATTTCAATGCAGATGCGTTCGCCTGGTTAAGTCACGTGAATCGCGAAATTTCGTCACTGAAAAGAAGAGAAACCAAGCTGAAATCGCAACTCATGGTGTTTGACATCAATCAACCAGATTCTCTCGAAGTGATACAATTGGAAGAGGTATAAAGAAAAAAAATATATATAACGAATGTTCTTCGTTGTTTTCGTACGAAAATTATTTCGACAGGACGTAAAAGCCATTCAGTTGGTGTGGGAGATCACCGATGAGTGGAACAAAGCTTGGGAAAGATACAGGACAGAGAATTTCTGGGAGATCGACATAGAAGAGATGGAGAACACGGCGAATGTTATTTTCAGGAAGCTGAATCTTCTCAGTAGGGAGCTGAAGAAGAAAAATTGGGAGATCGTCGAACACTCGAGGTAAAACAGTAGAACTTTTACTCTATTCTTTCACCTTTTGACTCTTTTAATATTGCATTTTCATTAATGGTAAAAATATGTATTTCGAAACCTGCTAACATTTTATATTTTCAATAACAAAAGTTGGCACACTGTTCAACGTTCAAAGTAACGATAAAGATTTTATTACATTCTAAAAATCACGTTTTCATTAATCCATTGTGGAACATCATAACAAGTAATGACTTGATAAGAAATATTATATTAATAAATAGTTGTATTAATTCATTAATTACGATGTTGATTCGTGGTCCAGTAATAAAAAAAATAGAATTTATTGATATAAATTAATCGGAAACATTGTAAATAAATACTTCAGTTTCTTGGAATTACATAAGAGATGTAAAACGATGAAAATTATTATTATATTAATTCATCGATTATGACAAAATAGAATTTGTTGTAATGTAAATTGATCGGGAAAAATTGAAAAAATGAAATGTCACGTTACGTTAATTACGTTGATTTAATGGTACTGTAATGTTATTTACAGTTATTATTTTGTATTCTACTTAATAATTATGTTCGGGAATTTGAAGTGGCGTTCTGACTTATGTCATCACCAGGAAGTTGCATTATTTTTGAATAGAAAAACCAGCTAGAGAATCAGCATGCCCTAAAATCTGAAAGTTTGATTATCCATGCCGAAGAGAGTTCCCGAAAATATATAAATAAAACGTGTTTCGCGCGGATTTGACGTGTCAGTGATTTTCATACATTTTGGAGCCCAAGAACCTCCGAAGTCGATAGAAGGGAGTTTTTCCCAATTTTCCATCAGTTTAGTTTGGACAGAAAGAAACAGTTTGACTCTCGAAAAAAACAATTCATCGCTCGTGATTCTATCTGAAAATTAGAGATCATTTGACACAATAAATAAGAGAACATTATTTTATATACTGTGCTTAATCATTACAGTCCACATCTCTTCTGGATTCATGGGCTTCGCCCGGTTTTCTGTATCATTATTAATCATACTTTTGAATATATGTCATATTTTTACGAACGGTCAAAAATTTTTATTTAAATTTTTAAAATTTCATTTCAACAACGATATATGCAATGATAACAAATTTTTTAGGACGAGAGTGGACAAGTTCAAGCGCACGCTCCCGTTAATTACCGATCTGAAGAATCCAGCGATGAGACCTAGACACTGGAAGAAAGTGAAGGAAATCGTAGACCGTGATTTCGACGAAACCTCCGCGGAATTCACCCTTGATACCATCGCGGAGATGGAACTGCAGAATTATGCCGAGCAGATCAACGATATTTCAACCTCTGCTACTATGGAATTGGGTATTGAAATTGTAAGTAGAAAAAGAAAATAAAACTTGCTGTAAAATTTGCATCTTCGTTCGTGGAACATATTCACAAAAAGAATTATATATATATATATATATATATATATATATATATATATATATATATATATATATATAAGAATTATAAGAAATATATATATTCTGTTACTTTCCAAACTAGAAAAGAAGATTGAAACACTAAATAATCAATGTAATAATTACATTGTAATGATAATAATTATCACAAAATAGTTTCTCTACAGGAAACTTATTACAATTTTGTGCATTTAATCATCCACATGGAATAATAAATTATTAAAAATAGTATAACAGAAATGAACAATATTACTTCTTGTGGTCACTAGTGACTTCAGTGTTAATGCAAGTAATCTTGGAATAGACTCGAATGAATAAATAAGTAAATATGATTTTAATAAAGAAATATATTATATATCTCTATGTAATGTTTATATAATTATTATAATGATCTTTGCGTATATATCTTTGCGTAATATTTATTTTTATGGTATTAGTGTATAAATTATTATAATATCCTAAGTGAACTAAAACAAAATCTCGTGTCAATTTTCCTTCAAGGCTCTGAAAAAGATTGCCGAGATCTGGACAGACATGCCTTTAGAGATGATCCCTTACAAAGACAGCGGAATATTCAAGATAAAAACTATCGACGACATAATGCAAACTCTGGAGGATCATCAAGTCCAGTTATCAGCCATGAAGGCAACAAGGTTTTGATAAATTTATTAATGCACTGTAATACTTGATAGAGTGCCACGTGCGAGTGTTACAGGTTCGTTGAACCGTTCACCGAGGAAGTTGATTACTGGGAGAGGATACTTTCGACCATCGGTGAAGTCCTCGAAACGACTGTGTTAATTCAACGCGGTTACATGCACATGGACAACATATTCACCTCGGAAGACATCCGGAAACAGCTTCCAAAGGAGGCTGACGAATACGACAAACTGACTCTCTCGTGGATTGAAATTACGTCGCGGATGGCATCCTACGGTTTAGCGCTGCAAGCCACTCACGATCCACGTATGTATTGCCAGAAAATGAGTGTCTAAGAAAAAAGAAAAGAAAAAAAACGTGATTCGAAAAGAACTTAAATTTGGAGAAGTCGCATACCTGAAAATTGGAGAAACAAAAGTCTTTACGCGACTCATTCGACTTTTTCTAGATTAATATAATTTGATTTAGAAAAAAAAGTTGTAGTAATTTTGAGAATTTCTAAGTTTCCGTAGGAAACAACAAAATTTATTTAAGAATATAGAATATTCTAAGCTGTTCTGAAAGAAAAAAAAAAGATAAAGGGAGAGTTTCAAATATTTTACACGGAATTTATTAAAATTTTTCTCTTTAAAACAAAATACGTTTTCCGAACTATCACAACATAATATTAAAAATAATATTACTAGACTAACAACATTGGAAAGTACTATATTTTTAATTATTATTACTATATTTTAATTGTATTAAAATTGCGTTTAGAAAGTTTATTTATACATTTAGAAAAGAAACAGAACCAGATCCATGGCCAAGGAAAATCTTTAAAACATAAGTTACGCGTAATGCATTGTAATTCAAGCAGGCGTGTTCGTAATAGTAGGCGAATCGCGCAATAGTAAGGAGAGAGAGGAAGAGAAAGCAAAATGTACGACGCGTCGTCGCCCTCGGCTTGAACGTGAAAAAGAGAAAGAGAGATTAGTAGAGTAGTATGTCGGCGCGAAAGGCGCGCTATAAAATATTATAAATCCGGTCCACGAGGAGCATTTGCATTTTTTCTCCGACCCAGTCCTGCATTTAATTTCTATCTTGTCTTTGTAGCTGGTCTGCTGGAGGTGTTGAATAAACTCACTGTTAAGCTCGAGTCGATGCAACGCGGGCTGGAACAGTATCTGGAGACCAAACGGCACGTGTTCCCAAGATTTTATTTTATTTCGAACGACGATCTGCTGGAGATACTGGCGAACGCCAAGAAACCTGAACTGATACAGCAACATGTTAAAAAGCTGTTCGAGAATATTAAATGTCTCACCCTGAGTAAGGTTGGTTATTCAACTCTCTTGAACTACGCATTCTTCTTCCGTTCAAAATATTTCAATTTTAAATGATATTTTGATTTTAAGGGTTATTTGAGAAATTCATAGCGTCCTTTGATAGTACTCCATTCTATACTAAACTGCGGGTCCCTGCTTTTGTACGAAATTTAAAGGATGTGTATGATATAAAAATAAAATACAGTATGGTACAATATTTAACAGATGAAATAAATCTCCAAGTAGATTCTTTTTTCTTAATTATTTAAAGAAAAAAGAAACAGAAATTTGCAATTTGCTGTTGGAATTTTAAGAAAATTGTTTACTATATGTTATTTTCTAAAATTCTGTTTTTCATTGAAAGTTTGGTTTAGCACGAATTAAATAGAAACTTGACTTTTTCAAACAAGAAAAGGGGATTGCATATTTTAATAAAAAATAAATAAAAGAATGTTCTCTCGTGATTTTACAGTCTCCGGCTGGAAAGAATTTGGCTGTTGCAATGAACTCTAACGAAGGAGAATATGTCGATTTTATCCAGCCAGTGAATCTGGAGAATCTGGTGGAGAGATGGCTATGCGATATTGGTAAAATATTTTTCTTACGGTAATTGCTTCAATGAAGTGGTGAACTTTAGCTTGGGAAAATATTGATGAACCAGAGCTAAGTTTCCAAATTATCTCAATTATCCCCTCGACGCTGAGAATTACGTTACGGAAACTTTACGCAGAACGCCGAGAAATTAAAGATTTTTAAGATTCATCGCGAGGGAATTTCCACGCTAATACTTTCGCTTCAATCCTTAAAATTTCCCGAATGAAACTTTTCTTTCGAATCCTTCGAAATTCCTTCTTTCTTTTTTCCCAGAAGTTTTTCGAAATTTTTCTTCAAAGTTTTGAACACTCAACGACGAGAAGTTCAGACTCCCCCCCCCAAAAGAAAAACAAAGAAACTAACATCCTTACCCGCCCCATTGAAAAATCAAATTTCACCCGGTACGAGTGCATCCGGCAATGAAAAAAAGAAAGAAAAAAAAGAAAGGTTAGCCCCGATTTTGGTTCTGGCAGCTTTTACCCGGCATTTTCGAGGGGCCATCCGGCAACAATTTTTCGCTAAAAAGGGAACGCAATTTGTGCCGGACGGGAAAGCTTGTCGCGAGTTAGACGCGTCGAGGGGTGGGTAGATCGAGCGGCGGAACAACGACGTGAAAAAAAAAAAAAAAAGGAAAAAGGGATTGATACAGAAATGAAAAGTGTAAAAAAAAAAAGAAAAAATGATTTCGCAGAGACCGCGATGAGGGCCAGCCTGCGCGAGATACTGAAACAGTGTCGAAGCGCGCTGCGAAAAATGGCGGTGAAACGCGACAGGTGGGTGAAAGAGTGGCCGAGCCAGCCTGGAATTACGTCCGCTCAGATCCAGTGGACCACCGACTGCACCCGTACCCTCCTCCACTGCAAGTGAGCCTCGCACACGCTTGCTACGTAGGAAAATTTAGCGACGACGTTGGTTACAGTAGTCTGTGACCAGTCGGATGAGCCTGAAATTGCGGGACGGGGGTGGTGCGTGCGGTTGAAAAGCACGAGAGAGAGAGAGAGAGAGAGAGAAAGAGAGACAGAGCAAGAGTGATAAAGATAGGGGATAGAACAGAGGGAAAACCGAATCTAACGGCTTAAAGGCTGGCTGCGCTCTGTCGGAGACAGGCCGAGCGAGGGAAGAACGCGGTGGACGAAGACGCAAGCAGAGAGAGAGAGCCACGGGGATGGGCTCGCGAATAGAGGGACACGGTAACTCTAATAAGGGGAATTTTGCATATTCCGACTCCGTTGCTACGATCCACAGGCTACACCGACCTAGCCGAGCCACCGTTCCTCCCTCGTTTGCATATACTAGCCGGTACTGCGAATAATTTAACTCACACCCCAACGACGGAAAAGGAAATCCCTACGTCCCGGGACACCCTGTTCTAGCCAGCGTTTCGCGTCTCGGGAACGCCCGAGCACCCAGGACCTACTCGTTGGCCACGGGAATGCTACCCTAGCTGAAAGAAATAAAGGGATACAGCAATGTCGGACAAAAAGGCTGATTATACCGCGCGAGGGATGGGAGGGAGGCGTGTGGGGAGGAAAAATTTCCTCCAGCTATGACGCTTTGCTGGTGGGAGGTTAAACGTGGACGTGGCAAGGTGATACCGTCTAACGAGGATAATTAACGACTTTGAGCTCTTTTTGCGAGACGGTTTTGTGAATCGTATATATAGATATATATATATATCATAAGGTTGATTAAAAGTGTGTGAGGAATGAAAGAGAGAAGAAACATTAGAGGAAACTATGGACGTGTTCGTGGGGCTCTTTTATCGAGTCCTTGCTGAGAGGCTAAAATATTCTCACGGGATAATTTAATTTGTGTTCTCTAGTTGCGAGTAGAGGATATTTCGACAATTTGTATCGTTGGGTTTATTAATATCGGTGATGAATTTCTTTTTTTTTTTTTTTTTCAACCGGAGTAATATCTCGTCACCAGAGAATCAATATCAATAGCTTGTATCTTGTGATTAAATTGTATTTAAAGGCTGGTGGATTCGAGGAGACCGCTGAAAAAGCTACGAAGACGACAGAACCAGGCATTGAGCAGTTACACAGAAGCGATCAGAGGCGAGTTGACTAATCTCGACCGATTGAAATTCAAAGCGATCGCGGTGATCGAGATCCACGCGAGAGACGTTATCGAAAAGATGTACCGAGCTAGTAAGTAATTCAATTTGATTTGTCAACGCTGGAACGGGAGGCGAAAGAGACAGAAATATAAATCAATTACAGCAGAACTTTGTTTATCCGAACACAACGGGGATACAAGATCTAATAGAAATTCACTAGCTTTCTTCAAATCTTGTTCTTATTTGTTTGGATAATAGTAGACGAAAATAACAGAAGTTGATTGATTATAAGTTCGTAGAGCTGAGGTTCAACATTAATTGGTTCGAAACGAGTTTCAGATAAACAAAGTTTCCATTACGTATTCACAACACGCAAGAAGAAATAAATTGATTGAACAATTGTTTGACAGAAACTCTTGTTATCAGGAGAACAGAAAAAGATGATAATATTACGAGTATATAATATCTCGAATTAATCAATACTTCTCTCTCCAGTAAATTACTAAATTAATTCCTAAATTGAATTCCGTTTCATGCATTTTCGACTCGTTAAAAATGTTCTTCTCAGTATACATAAATACATGTAGAATTGAAATGAGATTCAATTGAAAAATTTGTTCAGTATTTCGAAAATCTTTTGAAAACTTTTTAACGTACAGTGTGACATTGTAGAACGGCAACGTTCGATTTTCCATAGACGATCCACGGTCCCCGAGGATCTCGTAAATTCATCGGGCCGTATCAGACTGAAAATAGATAAATGGTTGAATAGATTGGCGCGCGTATTATCCTTGTATCCCTGGAAACAATTTGGCCCGTGCCATCGGCAAATATTGCTAAGTGAATGGGTTGGTGGAACGTTTGCCCAATGTATTCCGTAAATTCGCGCGTCAACGATTTGTCCGTGGACGCGTCGCCAATTAATGCGATTCCGCGAATTAAACTAATAGACGCGGGGTCGACTGATTTCGATGTTTCGTCGCGCGCTCGAGCCCGATGTTTCAAACCAGGGATTTGTCGGAAGTAAATTTTCACCGTGCGAAAGCTGATTTTCAACCTCGTTTACAGACTGCAAAGACGTGTCCGCCTTCGAGTGGCTGTCACAGCTGAGATTCTACTGGGACAAAGACGTCGACGACTGCATCGTCTGGCAGACGAACACGTACTTCGTCTACGGATACGAGTATCTCGGAAACACGGGACGTTTGGTGGTAACACCGCTCACCGACAGGTAAAGTATATTCAATTTTCAAGCGATTTATAGTGATGGAGTATTACTCTGATGAAGGGATGGATCTTTTTGGAAATAGGGAGACAATTGTTTGACAGGCATGGTTCAAATTTTCTGTAACGAGAAATGCTCCAGCACGGAACATGTTCCATAATGAAACGAATTTCTCGCAGCGACGAATTGTTTTCTATTTAAATTTAAATCTAATTAAAAATTGTTTTAAATAGTAGAAATTGAAAGTGACACGCGGTTGCTGATTGTTGATAAATGGCGTGAGCCATTGTTGCTCGTAAACATCTTCGTATCCAAAGAAATCAATTCAACTTTTTAATATTTGGAATTTTGCAAGATAATATTCATTGATTTTTTTTTAACGAACAATCGTAGATTGATTCTTTATAGAAATCTGGATATAAAGAATTATGTGGAAATATCGATATAAAAGCGTATAGGAATCGAGTGCAAAAAATTGACATCATAAGAATTACACTTGAGCTTATAATTGCAGACGTATTCAAAGTTAATATAAATATTACAATATAATGCAATGTTACAATATTTAATGAACGAGAAAAAAAATTACTGATCAGATTCCATTTTTTGTTCAATCGTATCCATAAAAATATAAAGAGTTCATTTATTTCAATTATTCTACAAAGATGCTAGATACGTATATATGAAACGTTTCAATACATGTGAAACATTAAGATACATAACACACGTCAGTATAATCAAAATATCTCCCTTAAGAATCTGAGTTAGGCAGAAGCTTATAAATCATTCGCCACGGTTGGCAATAGGAAATAGGGTCACGCGTGAAAGCGATTCCCATTACAAATGCGTGAACTATTCGAGGGGCTATTACACGCCAGTCGATGCTGTGATACGAGATAATTAGGTCAGGAGTCGCGACGATTACCGATGGCGCGCGAGCTTACAATTACGTGCGATTTCGTTGCACTCTGTTATCCTCATCCTCGAAATATTAACTTTGCTAAACCTGAATGAAACAAAAGCACGTATGGCTGTAATTCAGCTACTCTCAGCGCGATGCTTGAAATCACTATTGACCTCTGTCTTGATCCATTAACCAGGATACCACCGTCGTTAACTAACAAGCTTGTCAATCTTGCGGCTATAATAATTTTTTTTTTAGTTTAGGTGTAACTCTCTCTTTGAAGATTTATTTCAACAATATTTAAAATTTGATTGATTGATCAATTGATTGGATATATACTTCTTAGTACTTAATACTTAAATGGCTGGATATGTCACGTATGCCTTACTATAGAAGTTATCTCAATTGCCTTTCACTAAATATACGTTTTAGTATTACTTTCAAAATTAATATCATGATGATTTAATATTATTTTCAGATCTTATCGATGTAATTGATATAACTAAATTTTATTAATACATCATGATATTTTGTTCATATAAACGCAATGAATACAATCGTGATGATTTAATATCGCTTTCAAAAATTTTATCATTCGTGATGATTTAATATTAGTGTCAAATTTTATGAATGTAATTGCTCTAATATTAGTTTCGCATTTGATTAATATATGATAATGACAATCGTACGATATAGTAATAATAAAAAAAAGGCATTTATGTGCGTGACTTTTCAATATTCAGAATAAAAATTAAAAATTATTCGAAGAATCCTTCGCGTAATGAAATTTCGTTATTGTCGATTGAAACACTTTGACTCGAGCGAGGGTAATTCGTTTTAAGTGGCTGTTTCGAGTGTGTCGTTTCCTAATCGAACGTTGACATCCGAGTTTTCCCTCATAATTGATGAAGTTACAACAAGATCCAAAGAGCTCGCCTCTTCTCTTCCATAGGGCTGCAAGAGTCTCGTTGATTAACGTTAATTACACCTTCGCCGATGTTCCACGAAAATTTGTCGCTCGAGCGTTTCTTCGCGATCGTCCCGGAAGTTGCCTCGCGCCTAACTTTCGAGGATCACACTCGCCGCCTCCAGGCCTGTTGATTAACGTTGATTACGCTTTCGCGATTTAAATTACCTCTCGAGAAACGTCGAAACGATCGCTGAATTTTTGGCAATTTTCTACGATATTAAATCGATATTAAATCGATTATATTAGTATCTCTTTGGCTGCTTAGAATTATCAAAAGTGTAAAGAAGTTTAATGCTGATGAACGTGTAACGAATTAAGAATGCATTTATATTTGATATATTTACATACCTGTTGATATATTTATTCAATATATTATAAAATGTTATCTTCTTTGTGAGTGAACCAAGTGAACCAATTATTTTATTTCATTTTATTTTTAATTTATTTTGATTTTAAGATTATCTGTGCAATATACTTTAATATGGACCCAACATTCAAAGAATTAATAGCGTTCGATTTTTGCTACCGTTCTAAAATTTTCATCTCTTTTACACTCGAGCTTCTTAGAAGTTAAAAACAAGTCAGTCAATCAAAAATATCTTCGTACATTAAAATTTATTTAATGTTGGACAATTTTATTACTGAGAATTATCAGGAAATGAATATAGATTTTCTTCGCACTAATAATGAATGTTGCATTTCTAAATATCGTCATATAAGTATAAGTATTATTATTATAATATTATAGTATTATTATTATATTATAATATAATTATAAGTATAAGTATTATTATAAGTATAAGTTATATTATTCAGTATAAGTATTATTTGCCATTCTTTTCGTTAAAATTAAGCAACGCTAAATAAATTTTTGATTGATTGTCATGTTAACAACACATGAATATTCGTCCCACATTTTTCCAATGAAAATTAATTTGTTCCTTTCAAGCAGACACGACAAAAAATTAATATCTGTAATAAAAAGATAAATGACAGATTCTTTTCTTAATTGTAAATAGACTGATTGTAAATTTCTATTCAAATACATATAACCTATCGTCAGGTATAGATATCCAATTTTATATCATGATGTTGCACATTTTATTTAAAAAAGATTGACACAAAAAGTAAATGGGGGTTGAAATATACGAATTAACGACAAGGTGTATAAATAATAGTTAGTAGACATACATCACGTGAAATACAAACTATCCCTTGAAAAAAATCAAATTACTATCGCTTAAAGTACACATTAAATAATTAGAATATTTATTAATGTTATTATTACATTATTAGGTTATTTATTAATGTAAATTATTACACTAAATAATTAATTAAAATGCCGCAAAATTAACAAACTTAATGTAAATTATTACAAATCCTCGACGACCAATGAAACGACGATTGACGAGTCTCAATATACACAAAATGGCACGTCGTTTCGCAGCTTCTCGCAACGCACAACGCGACGACCATAGTCGAATTTAATCGCTGCCAGATGAAACCAGAGAAAATTCACTAGAAGAAAATCCTGCGGATCCGGGAACGCAATTTCCTTGGTCCGGCAACGTGGATATAAGCCGGGCTTATGTACAGAACCGCGTAATACACGTCAGTTAGGACAGGATGCGATACAATCTCTCACGGCGGTTGTTATCGAGAGAGAAGAGCAGTTTGCGCGACAAGGAACATCAAAGGAAACGGATCGAGAGGGTTTGGAGGATGGCAACGCCAGCTCGACGGAGAGAATACTTAACACGGTATCGATTTAATCGCGATAAAAGGGTTCGAGCCGTTACCGGTTCTAATTTATGGGGAAAGCGGACCGCCCCGATACATTTGTTCCCCCGGCGTGGAGAATTTGTCTTGCGGAAAGAAGAACGCGACGCGCCTTCCGAGAAGCACGATCCTTCGTAGTAATACGTCGCGACCCACCCTCGAGGCCGTCGTCGACTCGCCCCCATTTCCGGCTCGCAGCGATCGGATTAAACGACGAATCGCTGCGTGCCCGAATCCGTGGAAACGTCGTGGCGAGGATTTTTATAGAAACTACAATGATAATCAGACTACGGTTCTCTTTACGCGCATAAATACTTTTGAGAAGTAGAATCTTAGGGTAGAAATTTATTTTACGAGTCAAACAGCTTCGGAAGGGTATGCATATTGCGTATATTGAATATATCTCGTAGTTAAAAATTTTCTGTAAATGGATAAAAGTCCGTAGTTTCGGACCTTATGAGAATAAATACGGCGATGGATTGAAAGAGAAATTTAATCCTTCATTCGTTGCAAAAATGCATCTAGTGTATTTATTACAATATTTAGTAGAAGGAACTAATTTTTATTTAGCCTCTATTTAATTGTGTTTCTAAACATTGAAGAATGGGCTAAAACCCGCGTGAAAATCATTTTTATAAACGTTGGTAAGTAAATAATCGCGTATTGATCTCGTTTGTACATAATATGAAATTTACCGTTGAAATAACTTCTGGTTGCTGAAGAATTCCTGCATGTGTTTAAATGAAATTTGCATCGAATATTTTTTCTGCGTTAAACGTTCCTCCATTCCAGGTCAATTGTATTAAAATTCAATTCTCAATTTTAATTGAGTTTTGTAAAATTGTTTCCTCATTTTTTTCTTTAAACTTTCTTTTGATCATCATTATATTATTTCTTGATTAATGAGACTAGAGTCTCTGTTATTGAATTGGGACTATGTGAAATTTTTCGTCAAATTCTGATGGTAAAGTTTGTTAATATTAACGTATTTAGTTATTAAGTTAGTTATTAGGATTTAGAGTGATACAAACCAAATGTATTACTAAACTATGACAATGTGATCGTTCTTCGATATGAGATGATAATGAATTAAATTATTTAAATGCTTGTTACATATTCATAATCCTCTACATATTCGATGATAATTTAGATAATTAATAACAATCTACCACTAATTTAATATGCGCTGAATCGACAAGTAACTTCCCTTTCCTATGAAAATTTCTAAATCAAACTTACCGTATTATTAAACTATTCTGATCTAAATGAAAATTCTTTATATCAATACACTATTCTTATATTAATAAATTCTTTATATCACGTTATATTTACAATTCATTGATTACTTAAACTTTACTAACAACATTAATTTAATTATACAAGATGGTCTTCGATACTTTACACTTATAATTTTTATATAGTGTTTCTTGTTAGTCCAGGATACATAATAATCTTAATCTGTTTAATTTGAAAACAATATTCTATGTGGTTGTAATGTGAAACACAATCCGATTTGGATCATCGATACTCGATTTAATAACTATATGCTATACGAAATTAATGGCGAGCCTCTGAAGATAATTCTATTTCGATGGTAGGTGTTACATAACTCTCACCACCGCTCTTCACTTGCATCGTGGTGGTAGTCCCAAGGGACCGGCTGGTACCGGAAAAACCGAGACCGTGAAGGATCTAGGAAAAGCGCTGGGATTCAATGTGATCGTGCAAAACTGCTCCGAAGGGCTCGATTACAAAAGCATGGGCAGGTTGTTCTCTGGATTGGCGCAGACCGGTGCATGGGGTTGCTTCGATGAATTTAACCGGTAAATGAGAAAGACTGTCCAGTTTCTTTGCGTTAATTTACGATATGTTCCTCTTTTATTATTTTTTCTCTGCAAATACAGAATTAATTTTTAAAAATTTTAAAATACAGATATACATGTACATATTATTATTTTGTTTATTATTTATTTTTTTGTGTTGATATTTTTTTATAAAATTAATGTACAAATTTAAAAATACATTTTAAGATTACGCGAATATCTTTCAATGATATTTGAAATAGATGAAATAAATAAATGAAATGAATTACTTGAATAACGTTCTCATTTGCAGTCACTAATCTTGACGATGAGTGAGAACATTTGAACTAATCTTAATAAACAAAATTTTTTAAATTCTTCGCAAAAGGGAAATAATCTTAATTCAAGGCTATCAAATTTGTAAATTTAAGAAACAATCTCCTCAAAAATTCGAAGATTGAGCTCAGAGATTAAAGATGTCTTGCAGAAAATTTCAGTGTTGTTCTATAGCAATTCTGAAACAAAGAAATTTCCTTCAAAAGGCAAACGTGGATGAAAAATATTCTCAAAGTTATTTAAAATAATAATTCAGCGGTGAATGTCGAATTTTTTCTTTTTTTTTTTCTTTTTTGCACAATAGTATAAACGTCGAGGTGTTATCGGTGGTGGCGCAGCAGATACTGTCGATTCTCACCGCGATCTCACAGAGGCTCACCAGATTCGTATTCGAGGGCACTGAAACATTGCTGGTGCACACCTGCGGCATCTTCATCACGATGAATCCGGGTTACGCGGGTCGCACCGAACTTCCCGATAATCTGAAATCCATGTTCAGGCCAATCTCGATGATGGTGCCAGACAGCGGCATGATCGCCGAGATCAATTTGTTCTGCGAGGGATTCGAACAGACGCGAATGCTCGCCAGAAAGGTTCATAGAATCCTTCTCGTGAATTATGTCCCCTTGTGAGAATCGTAGTCGTCCATTTTCTCCTCTTTTCTACTTTTTCTTTCGTTCCGATAGGTTTTCACGTTGTACACGTTGGCTCAGCAACAGTTAAGCAAGCAGTGTCATTATGACTTTGGATTGAGGGGAATAGTGACTCTGACGAGGTACGCAGGGAGGAAGAAGAGACTTTTTCCGAAACTTCCGGACGAGGAAGTGAGTTATGCTTGCTGCAAATGTTGTGTTTTAACGAATAATATATATAAAATTCAAATATAATGTAGCTTCGATATATTAGATTCTGTAGAAACTTGACGTTGAATTTGGTACAATTGAAAGAAAATTATTATATCATAAATTTCTGAGAAATGATATTTAAGTTGTAATGTTGAAAGAAACATTGTGCCCAGTTCAAGGAGGAGAACGTAATTGATTTTATTCTACAATAGAACACTCTGTTGTATATGTTACATGAAACATTCTGAAGCTTCATTAACACATACATCCTCAGATTCTCTCATCACAAATATATTGTACATATTATTGTTTATAACTATATTATATTGTTTTATTTTATTTATTTAATTTATTTTATTACATTTTCATTTTATTTATTCAATTTATGTTGTTATATTTTCATTTAATTTATTTAATTTATTTTATTATATTTTCACTTTATTTATTCAATTTATGTTGTTATATTTTCATTTAATTTATTTAATTTATTTTATCATATTTTCAGTTTATTTTCACAAACTATGTACAGAATACGTTCACAAAATGTATCTACAGATGTAGACAACTTTCGTGACCTTGTGCATACATTTCAACTTTCGATATATTTTATTTCTTATTAGCCTAACTCTTTCCTATCTCCATTCGAGCCCCCTTTGCGTCAACAAAACCACCCAAAAAATATTCAATTTTCCATCGCCCGAACCCTCCGTTGTTTTACGCAACAGTCAATCCTCCCCTCTGATCCCTTTACTTGGCCATTTTTCCCTCGGTTACCATCTTGTTTATACTCGTCCCTCTAAACCAGTTTCTACTCTCTGTCACCACAAGCCGTCTAGTCCCCGAGATAGCTTCGAGGCTTTCGCGACTATGTTTATCCGGTCGCTTTACCACGATCGATGTGGCGGGATGGTTCGATCGATGTATTAGATCGCGATCGGTAAAACTGGCGAATGATGGAACTCTATGAGATGAAACGCACGTAGGTGATCATCCTCGCCATGAAGGATATGAACATCGCTAAACTCACCTCGGACGACTTGCCGTTGTTCCTCGGTATCACCAGCGATCTTTTCCCAGACGTGGAAGTACCGGCGATCGATTACGACGAAATTATCGCTTACATAACCAAGGAGGTCATCAAACTAGAGCTCCAGGTAATCTTGAATGTCACGACTTTTGCAAAAATGCAGAAATGGGGAAGAACGGATAACGGCTTTTCCTGGCGTATGCATTTTAATAAAAAGCTTTTCCCAATCGGGGGAACGTTGCGTTTATCAAAATGGTAATTTTTAACAATTGCATATTGATTCTTTTGGACCGTTGATTCTTGAGAACGATTAGAATTAATTGACTTTCTGTCAATTTAAGAGCACTTGTCTTGCCTATAGTTTGAAAACTGAACAAGCCGAGGATAATGAACGTCATAAATTATAAAACTGTTCTATAAAGTTTGACGCTTAGATCTGAGCCGCTTATTTGCAAAATCGATCAACTTCCCTGGACGAGAAATCGATGAAATAGTATACGTTCCTTTGAAAATTTAAATTTGAATATATATTGCAGTGTATATTATTGTAATTTCTATCCAACGACATACAAAATAAGTTGTCGAAATAAATCGTACGTCCACGTTAGCTTCTGAAATAAATTATCAATGCGAAAATTAATATATAAATTATTATTCTGGTGAGAAAAAGCAATTTTCTAGAAACAGCAAGTACTAGGAATTTGTTCTACTTATCCATTTAATTTACGTGTATTTTGTTTTATATATTAATAAAATATGAGACTCAATTTTTACATCATAGGTATATAATGTCAATCATTCCTTACCATTAATTTACTGTTGAAAGAAATGTAGATTAAAACTAGCAAAATGGTCAAAATGACCAATTTAGAAATTTCGTTAGACATTTTACAGATACGGTACACTTTAAAAAATTTAGAAACGTATGTATATGTCTAAAAATTTAAACGATTTTTCGTGAAATGTATAAATAGAAGCTTCTATCGTGCTCCTATCTTTTTTTTTTCACTTTAATATCTCAGAGAGATTTAATATCTCGGAGATTTTACACCTTCGTCGTAGTTCTAGCGTCGAGAAAAAATTAGTCAACTCACTCGCCAACCACGAGGCTCATGCATTTCGCGCCAAAGATTCGATAGACCTTTAATTGGACTGTCGAAGCAAGCCAAAATCAATTGGAATTTCAATTCGATCCGAATTTCAGTCGATCGCCTTCAGACGCCATTAACGTTGCAATCTAGGGGAGGGCGGACGGGTATAGGGAGGCTGCGTGAACTTCCGGCAAGTGCGCCAGTTTACTCAGCTAACATTGTTTACAGCCTATTCCCCTGATACTGACGAAAGTTATCGAACTGTACGAGACGATGAATTCGAGGCACTCGACGATGATAGTGGGCGAGTCGAACACAGCGAAGACGGTTACATGGACTGTGTTGCAGCAGACGATGACGAGCATGAAGAACGACAAGAAACCGGGATACACCGCGGTTCACGTCTATCCTATTAATCCGAAGGCGTTGAGCCTCGCCGAACTTTACGGCGAGTACAATCTTGCCACTGGCGAATGGCACGACGGCGTGATATCGTCGATCATGCGAAAAACCTGTTCCGGTGAGAACACCGTGTCTCGTCAATATTTTTCGGCCAAGCTTTATATAAGTCGCGGCGAACTGGACAAAGTCGACAGATTCTCGTTACTTTTGACAGACGATAGCCCTGACACGAAGTGGATCCTCTTTGACGGGCCAGTGGACGTTGACTGGATCGAGAACATGAACAGCGTAATGGACGACAACAAGGTACGCTTTCGGGAAAGCTCGACTTTTCCCCAGGAAATTCCGGGGACTTGCACGGATGATATCCCTTTTGGTTATTTATTCTTTAATGGACGACTTGCAATCTCCCTGAGAAGCATTCGTACACGTAAACTCGGCAAGAAATCGTCGACACTTTAAACGGTTGTAACTTTGCAGGGAAAAAATCGTACGGCAGGTTCTAAAGGGAGATTTCAATATCGTGGTGGATTTAATTATGAGAAAAAAAATCTTTCAGTGTCCGCAAAGACGAGTTTTTGTTTGCAAAATTTCTTCACTCGTCCCGTTCTTTTTTTAAATTTCGTAGAAACGACTTTGAAAGGAACGAAATCTTAATTTTCCTTCGCAAAGAAGAGAATTAGTTCACTTTTCATTGAGTGTACGAATATTTTCTGGAACAACAGTATGTTCTAAAAAAAAAAAAGGAATTATAAGAATAAGAAACATTTGATCGATATAAAAAGCAGTTTTTTTTTATATAAGATTAATTTTTCTTAGTTACAAGCATTGAACATTTAATTAATTCGATGCATAGAACTCGTTCTTGAAATCTTAATCTCCTATTTCTAAATACGCTGCATTCAAAGATTCGTAAATTTTAAATCTACAGTCCGTTTCACTAAATGTTTATTTTCAGGCAGAATTTCCAGGTTTAGAGATCTATTCTCTCTTCTGATTTCTTTTTAATATTTAATAAGCTCACTAATATTTTCATAATATTATTCATAATTTCGAAAATATAATTAAAGAAATAGAAATTTGGTAGAAAATAGAATTTCATACATTAAATGTTATAGAAAGCACAGTTTGGATACTTGAGGTGTTTTCTCATATCACGTGCATTCCGTGGAATTTTATTATGTGAAAATCTCTTTGAAATGCGTAAAAATCTGTTGTCCAGAATTTCGCTCAAGATATCGATGTGTAATTTCCTCTCATAGGTTTTGACTCTCATAAATAACGATCGAATTACCATGCCGAAGCAAGTGTTGCTGCTGTTCGAGGTCCAAGATCTCGCTGCCGCCTCTCCGGCGACAGTTTCGCGGGCGGGGATGGTGTACAACGATTACAAAGACCTTGGTTGGAGGCCTTACCTACGAAGCTGGCTGCAGAAGGTCCAAGGAAAGCCAGAATTCGTAGAGGAAGTACGCGCGAGCTTGCTACAATCTTCGATACGGAGACGCGAAATTGATATTACATTATCGAAATAATACAGATGAGAAAATTGTTCAACGCGCACGTGGACGCCACCTTGGAATTCAAACGACGAAAATGCGAGGATCTCGTCCCAGTTCCCGAATTAAACGCCGTTCAATCGCTGTGCAAGCTTCTGGAAGTGCTTGCCACTCCTGAGAATGGGGTTCAGTTCACGGGCGATGTAGACATGTTCGCCAATATTTGCCGAATATGGTTCTTCTTCTGGTATAAGTCAAAGAAAATATCTAGCATGTCCGAAAAACATTTCTGGATCTTTGGATTCGGTTTTATAGTTTACCATTCTTCGTTAGTTTGATATGGTCTATTTGCGCGTCGGTCAACGAAGAGAGCAGATACAAGATGGACAATTTCATACGAGAGATAGAGGGCACGTTTCCGATACGAGACACTGTGTACGAATACTTCGTGGACTCTCGAATACGATCGTTCGTTTCCTGGGAAGAACGACTGCCACCAGTATGGAAGATCCCGCCAAAGTATCTTTAAACAATCTCTATTTTATTGATTTTGACCGAGAGTCTCGAGATATTTTCTGTTTTTTTTTTTTTCCAAAAATTCAGCATTTAAAGCTAAACCTCAATATAAAATGTTAATAAATAGTTTTAAATTTTTTAATAATGTGAAGTTAAAATAATTAAATAATTTAAGGTGAATTAAATATTTAATGATATTTAATAATCAAATAATTTAATGTAAATTGAATAATAGATTGAATCTTCCAACTCTTGAAGCAAGTATAATAACAATCCTAAGACTCTCCAACATAGATAGTATAAATTTCTGTTTCTACTACTGTCTCTTATTTTTCTAAAAAAAAAAAAGAAATTAAACTCGGCATCTAATGCAACAGTTGGACTGAAATGAAATAAATAGAAAATAATTAAACAACAGGACACCTTTCTACAAGATAGTCGTGCCAACCGTAGACACAGTCCGTTACGAGTACATCGTGAGCTCGTTACTAAATAACAGATTCCCAGTCCTTTTACTGGGTCCAGTAGGCACAGGAAAGACGTCGGTGCTCCAATCGGTGCTAAACTCTCTAGACAAGGAGAAGTACAGCGTGTTGACCCTGAACATGTCCGCGCTGACCACCTCGAAGAATGTACAAGTGAGCTCGACACTTCCTACTCGTTGAGGAATGCAAACGAAACATTTGCATCGGGGCAAGTTGACGAGGTTTGTTTTAGGACATGATCGAGAGTAGGCTCGAGAAACGCACCAAGGGTGTGTACATCCCCGCAGGCGGCAAAATCCTGATCGCGTTCATGGACGACTTCAATATGCCTATGAAAGAGACATACGGATCGCAGCCGCCATTGGAATTGATTCGACAATGGATAGGATATGGTTTCTGGTGTTATTTCAGTCGTTTTATAAATCTATCATGGATGTTTATGCATTATAGTTTCTGGATATATTTATTGGAATTTTGGTATGTGTGTCGATTTCAGACAGCGAAGCTGTATTGATCAACATTGATTCATTAAATTTTATGCTTTAAAAGGCAGGTTTAAATAAAATTATAACAATTTAAATTTAAATGTGGAATATTTTATTATTATTTATTTAAGTATTTAACGACTGCAAGGGATCAAAGTAGACTATTTTCCAAATCTCCACCCATCTCTCGTTCATAAACATCCACGCACAGTCTGTTAATGATATTTCGCGCGTATTATATTTCTTGTTTGACGAATGCGTCAAGGTACGATCGGGAGAAGCAGACGCAGAAGTTTATACAGAAATTGCAATTACTGGCGGCCATGGGTCCCCCGGGAGGTGGCCGAAACGTCATTACAAATCGTTTACTGACGAAGTTCAACGTAATTAATATGACGTTCCCCGTAGAGAAGCAAATCATCAGGATATACGGATCGATGTTGGATCAACATTTTGGTAACTTCCACGCCGAAGTGAAGGGGATATGTTAGTACAACATATTGGAATACATTTAGAAAATAAAACGTCAGAAATTGTACAATTTTCTGAAACATTTGAAAATAACAAGAACATTCTAAATAAGAGGATTAAATAAGAATTTGTTTGTTCTTTTTTCAACCAGCCAACGAAATAACGCTTGCCAGCATCGATTTGTACAACAAAGTGATCAACAAGATGCTGCCTACGCCAGCGAAAATGCACTATCTGTTCAATCTAAGGGACATATCGAAGGTAGGGGCGTTTCTATGGAACCTATATTTTCTCGGTGACTCAATCTCCAATATTTTTACCAAACAGGTTTTCCAAGGTCTGCTACGAAGTCACAAGGACTACCAATTTTCCAGGCAAACCTTCCTTCGTCTATGGGTGCACGAAGTGTTCAGAGTCTTCTCCGATCGATTGGTCGACGAAAAGTAAGCGAATCTGACAAAAAAAAAAAAGAAGAGAAAAAAGAAAAAACGGATCCGTTGGGAAACGTGACGCGTTCAAAAACGCGAAATTCGTTTCACAGGGACAGGGAATGGTTTGTAGATCAAATTGGCGAACAACTTGGGAAACACTTTGAACTGACCTTTCATAATGTCTGTCCTGAGAAACGGTGTCCCTTATTTGGTAAGTATGAATCGACAAGTATTAAGTTTGGTAATTATGAATCGACAGTGTAACGAACAGTTGTTTTGTTACAATAATTGCAAATGTGTTCTTTTCTTCAAATTTCGTGAAATTGTAAAATCTAAAGAAAGTCGAGATATATATATAAAGCGAATCAAATTAAGAAGTAGAATGCAAATTTGATTGAAAACAAATTATTGCAGATGAAATGTTGCGTATAAAAATGTAAATTTTACAAAATATAACATACAAGAAGCGAATCTGTATTTCACAACCAAATTAAGAAATAGAATTTCATCGAAAACAAACAAATTGTTGCAAATGAAATGTCGCGTCAACAGCAGAATGTTGTCCCTTAATGGGTTGAAAAGAAGGAATCCAGCCCACCATTTAACCCTAGCTCCGCGTAATCCAGGTCTAACTCGCGCTAAACCTGAGTCAGTTTATTCGAATCTAATCCACGACACTCGCAGGTAGTTTCATGAACGCTTGGGACGTATACGAGGACCTCACGAACCTCGCTGCCGTAAGGACTTACATAGAGAATCAAATGGACGAGTATAACGCTTTTACCGGTGTCGTTCGTATGAATTTAATTCTTTTCCGTGACGCGATTGAGCACATCTGTCGTATAGTTCGCGTGATTTCACAGGTTAGTACCTTCGACTTAATTATTATCATTGATATTTATTGAATGGATTCGAATTTATTTGGAGCTTATACTATCCATTCAATTTTATTTATTAATCATTATTATACACGGTATAATAAGTCTAAGGAGGAAATCGAATAATTTCACACGCAGTGTATTTGATAGGTTATTCTGAATAAGAATAAGAAAGGTCATTCGCTTTTTCATTTATTTCAAAGAATACGTTCCAATTGAAAAATCCTTTAATCTATACGAATGAAAGAAGAATGAAAAAAAATTACATTTTTGCGTCCAATTAAAAAATTTATTGTTTAAAATAAGGGAAAAGCAAGCGAACGAAAATTTAAGAATGACCTACTAAACTTATTTGATTTCCACCACTCTGTATAACAACGCATGAAGAGAAACGAGATTTGCTAATTAATCTATAGTTTATCAAGACTTCCTTTGACAGTCAACAACAAAATTCACAAAATAGAAGATAACGTCGAATATTCCTCCAACAGCCTCGTGGTAACATGCTGCTGATAGGAATCGGCGGAAGTGGGAGGCAATCTTTGTCCCGAATCGCGAGCTACATGTGCGAGCTGACAACCTTCCAGATCACTGTGACGAAGCATTACAAGCTAGGCGAGTTCCGCGAAGATCTGAAGATCCTGTATACGAAAACAGGCGTGAACGACAAACCGACCACGTTCCTCTTCAACGACACGCAAGTGGTCGAGGAGCAATTTCTCGAAATAGTGAACAGCATGCTCAGCACGGGGGAGGTGGTGAATCTCTACAAGAGCGACGAATTGGAAGAGGTACGTCTCCACCCTCTCCACCGCTTCCAAATTCCATCCAATTCAAATAGCAACATCCACTAGCGGCACATTTCCCAGTAGCGGGAGCTCTCACGATTGAAAATGTAAAACGTATCGAAAGTATGCTTGTGCATACATAAATTCTGCCCTGTCCCCATGCACACACAGATTAAAAAGAAACTGACGAAGGAAGCGGCGCGCATTGGACGAATACCAACGACAGAGGCGATCTACTCGCTGTTGATCGAGCGGGCGCGTGCCAATATGCACTTGGTGGTGTGCATGAGCCCGATCGGCGACGCGTTCAGGAACAGATTACGCCAGTACCCGAGCCTGATCAACTGCACGACCATCGATTGGTTCTTGGAATGGCCGAGGGAAGCTCTCCTCGAAGTTGGCAACAAGTTCCTCATGAATCTCAATCTGACGCTCACTATCACCGGCGAAAATAAAGCGGTTGGTCTTCGGCTGCGTCTTCTACACCGCCCCTTTCCGGCCGATCGATTCCATTTGATTCCGATTTCTCCCGGAACCGGGACACCCCGTTCTCTTTACAGGGACGAAGAGAGAGAGAGAGAGAGAGAGAGACCTCTGGAACCGCATCCCACGTCCTCTCTATTTCGTGGAATCCGATTATTTTCCTCTCAGCGGCTCGCTCTCGACCTCCCCGCCCCCTCGCGTCTGGCGAGCTTCCTCCCGGAATGCAATCGTCCGAGCGTTTCCGGCAACCAGGCGCTTAATATTTTCAAATTTGCCTCGACCGCGTATCCTTCGAATCTTCCGCCTTTTGCACTATCGGCGACATCGGCAGTTTCCTTTGCTCTTTATTTTTATCTTTCGTTTCAGTTCGCCTGCCTCCTTCGAGTCAGAATATTTCGGAAAATTATTCGTGCGACTATTTTCAAGCGTATTCTTGATTTTTCTTTAAATTTTTCTTAAAATCATATAACATATGACGATGACAAGATTCTCAGACTCTTGCTATTTCATTGGCGGTCTTTTCTAAAAGTTGTTTAGTCATTTTCAAAGTGTCGTGCAAATTTACGCTAACACACGGAAATCTCAGATTTCTTTCGTTATTTTTTTATTCCTATTGTTATTTTCAGTTAGTCATTTTAATTTTTAATTTCTACCTTCTTTAAATTAGAAAGTTATTTGTATATATAAAAGTAGTAGGTATTTTCGAATTCTTCCTCGAAAGAATCCATCATACCTCTCTTGCTATTTGTTTTTTCAGTTCGTTTGCTTGATAATCTGTCCTAAAAATTATTTCTTAACGCGGATGAAAATGGCGGATATTTTGAAATTTACCTCAACCGCGTATCTTTCGTCTACACACGAAAATCCCAAATCTCTCTTGTTCTTTATTTCTATTAATAATTTCCGTCCTTATTCATGCGTTTCGAAAATGATCTGCACAATTATTCTCGAGTATTTGAGTGAAAATTCAGCGGTGAAATTTCGAAAGAACGAAATGCTACGTAGGAGCCCCGACAGTCGGCGACAGCGTTTCCTTTGCCACCGCTTCAGGACCGAATGCGAGATGGAATTGCGGCGACCTTCTCTCTGATCCATGAGACTGTGTCACAGTTTTCCAACAGGATGGCCGCGGAGATGAAGCGCTACAATTACGTGACACCAGTGAACTTCCTCGAACTGGTTGCCGGATATAAAACGTGAGTATCCGCTAAAGGAGCCAACGAAAATCCCTTTAACAAGGGACTTTCTTTGAAAAATTCACGAACCTTCTTGCGAGGCAACCTGCAATTTGCTCCCCCGGTTGTGTGAAGTCTTCGGGATATTCATTTCACAATTAGACGCAGATATTCTTCTCGTCGTTGCATCGAAGATATCTTTCAAAAAAAAAAAAAAAGAAAAAACGTTCTATAGATTTTATTACTCGAAATATTTTCACTTCTATCTTTTGTTTTAAAGAAGACGCGGTTTTCAAAGATGATCATATGAAACTTGCAAACAGTTCTAAGACAAGGTAAACGATACGTCAGTTGGTTGGTCCGCCGCTTTCAGAATGCTGGCGGAGAAGAGAGAGGATTTGGCGAGCCAGGCGAACAAACTTCGCAACGGTCTCTCGAAGATCGACGACACCCGCGTTAAAGTGAACGAAATGGCTGCGGAGCTGGAAGTCACACAGCAGCAGGTTCATAAATCTACCAGGGAATGCGAAGAGTTTCTGGTAACGATAGGTACGTGTCATCCTCTCAACGCTGGTGTCATTAAGTGCAATTAGATCGATTCGAGCGAACTTGACCCACGTAGTAACTTATCCGTGACTTATCCCTCTTCTATAAAGTGGTAAAATTGATATTAATAGAATGGCAGAAGAGATTGAGATGGAAATGAATTTTTAAATACAATTAAATTAATCGCCTTAGTTGTTGTCTCTTTTTGTGTTAATTTTCTTATAAATTATTTTGTAACACAGAGGCGAAGCTTTGGGACATTAATTGTTCGATAATAAATTATAATGTCGAAGTTGCAGATAATATTCGTTTGATAGGCAATACATTGTCTTATAATTATTACATCAGAATGTGTGTGTTCGATGTTTCAATGTCTTTTCAAAGATCCACGTGGGATTGATTTTTGTAACAAGTGGAAATCCAAACTAAATTATTATACAATTAGAAAGCTATGATATTCGATACGTAATTGAACACCTTGTGCGAATTACACGTAATTATACGCATTTATACGTAATTGAAATAGAAATTTACTCTAATGTACATATGTATTAAGTTACAAGTTTATAATATATAATATCAGCATATACAAATGATAAATTAATTATTTATAAATTTATAACTGTAAATAAATTGTGGACAACTGCCAAAAATAAACGTTTTTATTTTTATTGTTTCAAAACGACATGTTTATAAATAGCGCGTAAGTTCTAAAAGAATTTCCCTGTATGAAATTGCTAGTTCCATTAAATTTCTGTGACTCTCATATATCCCACATTCCTACAAACATAATACAATCTTTCTCATTTACGTTTAATTCTCAATGTTTCTTTCGCTCGAAAAAAAAGAATTCCACGTGGTCCGAAAATTAGAAACAAATACCTGGAACGTACCTAAAACTGTAAAATTACTCTCCACGCTAATTTTATACGGTATACTTCACAGTGAATCAAAGACGCGACGCGGATGAGACGCAAAGGACAGTGGCGGCGCGATCGCAGCGGATCGCGGAGGAACAAAAGGAGTGCAAGAAGCTCGAAGAAATCGCCCGAGCTGATCTCGCAACTGTTGAACCGGCTCTGAACGAGGCGATGAAGGTACGTTTCCTAACATTAATTCTTCCATCGTCTCCGGTTCGTAATATCGTTCCAGTTCGTTTGCGATTCGTTTGGGTGATCAAGCGGCGCGCCACTTCGCCGTGAATCGAGAACGTTGCCCCGGCTCGAATATCCGATAAAACGGTGGGGAATTCGAAGCCCGGTGTGTGTACATACGTCTTTATTATTTGCAGCCGACCCGTTTCGACTTCCCTCCGTCTCGTGCTCGACGACCCGCTCGGTTCCTTCAACTTCGCGTTTTATGCACCGCCGTCCGAAAAAGTTTCTGGCCAAAGTTCGCCGGTACGTTTTATGGACGACAGTAACACCGGACTTGTTACATAAATTCGTTTCGCGGACTGCTTTGTTAAGAAAAATCCAGGAGGAAATATGGTCGCGACCAGGGAGCGTTCGCTTTTTTCGTTTCGATCGATCATTCATTGTAACCCGGATAAAATATTCTTGTAATTAATTAGATGAAGAGGTAGAGAGCTGAGCCCGAAATAGATTAGAAGTGGGATTTTTAAAAATATAGCAATGGTAATAAAAAGTTAGTTTACGTCGTAGTTAGAACGCGTGATTGGAGTCAGACGATGATTTTGTAAAATACTGTTTATTGGTATACGAGTAATTAATTATTCAAATATTTGGCGGTACAGATTTGCGATATTGTACTGTGTATACTCGTATAAATATTTCTGTACATTTCCATATTCGTTTTGAAATTTTATCAATTTTCATTTCGTTGTAATAATAATAATAAAAAATTCGACGCAAGTCCCACGGCAAGTATCGCATTATTTCGAAACTGAAAGAACTAAATGCAACATTATTAATTAATAATCGTGTTATAAAATACACACGCGACTGAAAAATCTACGATTATTTTTAAATTTCAATATAAATTTCCATCTAAATGACTTTGAATTTAATATAAATTTACATTACGCGACTTAAAATTATTATTATTATTATTAATTTATTATACAAATTTACATTTAAACGACAGACGCTGATTATCGAGAACAAAAAGCCTCCCGGAAAACTTCCGGGAACCTTTGACCGGCAGTGTGCATAATATATTCGTAAACACAGTTTATATAAACGTTCGAACAATTTCATGAGCTACCGTAGCAAGAAAAAATCGTCGATCGTCCCCGTTCCGAATCCGTTATCACGAGTACGTAGAAAATCTCCCTCCGGAATCGCGTTCATCCATATGTATGGTGGAATTTATCGGGTACGAAACTGGCTCGCCCTATCTCGCCCTATCAATTGTTATCCGTATCGCCAGGCCCTGGACGCGCTGAGCAAAAAGGATATCGCGGAGATACGATCGTTCACGCATCCGCCGCCAAGAGTCGAGATGGTAATGGAGGCGGTGATGATCCTGAAAACCTCGGAGCCGACTTGGGCGGAGTCGAAGCGTCAACTCGCCGACGTGAACTTCCTGAACACGGTAGGTGAAAAGAGCGATCCGAGAACTTGGTATTCTCCTCTGCTCTCTGTTTTCAACCAAAATTTCCACCGGATATTTCATGTTGTCCGTGGGCGTGATGAATTTTTCAGCTGCGAGACTTCGACAAGGACAACATCTCTGACAGGACACTTAGACAGATCGGCAAGTACACGTCGCACCCGGAATTCGAGCCGGAGAAAGTGGGCATGGTGTCTGTGGCGGCCAAGTCGCTCTGTATATGGGTCATCGCTATGGAACAGTACGGGAAGCTTTACAGGTCCGTTCCTTAGAGACAAAATTAGTCTGGATAATTTGAACTTTGTAAAAACTTTGTGAAGAAAAAGATAATTCACGCGGTCTCAGTTTGAAATAAGCGAAGTCTCTACTTTGATAGTTGTGAGTTCGTTTTTTCTAAGGGTGATTTTACATCAGCGGATGGGAAAGATCTCGAAAGTTGCAAAAATTCAAACGTCTCTAAAAACAATAAAAACTTTTCGTGACTAGATTATTAGAGCGTTGGAGATTGAAATCTCGTCTTTCCAACGATTTCTTGAAATTTTTTGAAATGTTAGGATTTCAAAAATATTCTAAAAGAAAAATATTGAAAAACTATGGCATAGAAAATTCTTAGGGCTCGTTGCAAAGAGGAGATTTCATTTTTCAAAATGATGGATCACGAAAGCAATTTTTCAATATTGTTGCAAATGTTTGAATTTTTACAATTTTCGAAGAAAGAAACAGTAGAAGTTCTATGCTATAAAATAAAATCAAGTGGATGGTTAAATTTCTTTTATGTAATTATATTTTTATAATTATATAATTATAACAGTTTAAATTATCGACAATTTTTTATCATTATTAGTTGAGTTATGCTATATATATCTACATCTCAAATAAGAATAGAGCAACAATATAGTGTGACTATAGCTGAAAATATTAAGGGAAATTTTCTTTTTTTTTTATAGAGAAATAATTTTCTAAAATTTAATATAGTCTGAACCAATTTTCTGCTACTAAGCTCTATCTTTTTATTTTTCAACTTTGATTTTTGTAGTACACACTTACAGAAAGATTAAAAATAACAGAAGAGCAAATTTCAAAAATTTACTATATTAAGTATAGAAATTAGTTCAATGCCTTTGTATTGAAAGTACAAAATACAAATCGTCACATTTGTAACGCATGATGTAAATTATTAAAGAAACAATATATTCCCGGCTACGTCCCATATATATTCTTTTTCATCTACAGTTAAAAATTTTTCAATGCGTTTAGAAACATATTTAAAAGACATGAAAATTTTTACTCTACAATAAAGAATGACCTAGTAAACAATTTCTTACCAAAATAATCTCAAAAGCTGAATAGTAAATAAAATTTCCATAAAAAAAAAGAAGGTATTGAATTAGTTTCTACGTCCAATGTTTTGAATCAGGCCAAGATCTAGCCATTTATTTTCTTAATTTTGAGTTCGGCGGTACGCAATCGCAAAGAAACTTGGAGGGTTTCTTCCTCTATTCTCGGAGGCAAGTGAAAGAAATTTAGCGGGAAGAGGGCTAATCGTAAGACTTCGCCATTGAAATCGCAGAATCGTTGCGCCGAAGAGGGAAAAATTACAGACCGCGTTGAAATCACTCAAAGAGAAGGAGCGAGCGCTGGAGGAGGCGTTGCAACAGCTACAGAGATTGCAAGAGAGGCTGCAGAAGCTTCAAGAAATGTACGACGCAAAGATGAAAGAGAAAGAAGAATTAATTAAGCTGGTGAGTGACGGAATGATCTTTCTCGATTTGAACCGCCGCCTGGTTCGAAATGAAACTACACGAACGCTTAGTGACCCCGGCCACGTCCCATATACTTCTATTTGCACAAATTTACTCTTTGGTGGAAAGTTTCGTTTGCTCGCTATTTAAAGACTGGAGGATATCATCAGCGTTGCCGTATTTGCACGGGGACTGCATCCAGCGCGAATTTTCAAATTACTTTCCCGTCCTCGCGCGAAATGGTCTCGGATGTTTGTCTTATATATTTGCCGCTCTTTCGCGGTTTGGAATCTTTTTTGATAGCTTGTGGCGTGTAACTTCCGGCTCTGCTGCCGAGTGAAACGTGTATTTGTTTTAATCTTCGTTATTTACTTTGGATCTGATGCTTTGTGTGTGATTTTCTGGTTCTATTACGATTGAATGTTAAGTGGTGAACTTGTAATTTAGTTAATATTTTTATATTAAAGTTAGTTAAGCACTCGATTAATCAAGCTTCCTTCCTCTGTAGCAATTTAACTTTTTCCTTTCGTAACAATTTGATTTATTACTTTCAGAATCGCCTAATATTTTTATACTAAAGTTAATTAAGCACTCGACTAATTAAGCTTCCTTCTTCTGTAGCAATTTAACTTTTTTTGTTCTGTAACAATTTAATTTACTACTTTCAGAATCACTTAATATTTTTATACTGAAGTTAGTTAGTTTATAATATTTTGTAAGCATCAATTGAGCTTCCATTTGTCATAATTTCATCTATTTCTTTCAAACTCATCATGGTACTTTTGTCCTTTCCTCGACTGTCAAGATTAAAGCTTCATCCGTTGTATTCCATATTTTTAATTCGGTTTCATAATTCAATTCTACCTGCATAAAATTTCCACTCTAAATATATTCACCGGCGAAATAATCTCATGAATCTACCCCCAGCCAGAAGTTCGGCGTTACAAGCCGAATCGATAAGGTGTACGCGAACGATTCACCCGATCTGGTGGTCTTATTTCGCGAACGAGCCAGCGACTAAATTTCAACTATGCTGACTCGATTCTACTTTCAGTTCCGCGTGTTTTCAGGCGGAACTATTGAAGCTGAAACTGGAGCGGGCCGCGATGCTGGTCGACGGCCTCTCAGACGAGCGAATTCGATGGGAGAACACGGTCGGTTCGCTCGGCGAGTTCTTCGACTGGCTGCCAGGTGATTGCCTAATATCCACCGCCTTTGTGTCCTATTTGGGCCCGTTCGTATCCAATTATAGAGAGGAGCTGATAAGCATCTGGATGAAGGAGGTGAATTAACGAGATTCGATCCTTTTTTGCCGATGACAATTGTCGTAATTCGCGAGTGTTGCCAAACTTTCTCGTTCGTTTAAATTCAATTACAGATGATTTCATGATGTGGTCAGCATAACTTTTCATAGCTCGTATTTTTTTTTTTTTTTTTTTACTAACGATAAGTTAATTCAAGATGTGTCTTTGTTCTTCTACTGATAGCAGTGCTTTACATTGTCCATTTACATTATTCTTCTGAGTCTATGACCATTTTTTGGAAAAGTAGCTAAAAATTTATGGTAGTAGAAATTTAACAAAGTTCTAATTGACATTTTTAATTCTAGGAGAATAATTTTGGACAATAGACAATTTTAATCTAGATAAATCTAAATAGACAATTTTAATCTAGGTAAATCTAGATTATCCCATTTTTAATCTAAATAAAGGCAGAGTTACATCGTTTTGGGAGATAACACGAAAAGTATATATGATGTAGATTAAATTGGAATAGTTGATGTACAATCACGACGACTTTGTTTAAATTCTCATTCTCTGTTCGTTTATTTACATCAGATTGTGCAAATTTCTCTACGAAACGATAAGAAATCGAAATCCTTAATTTTCAATGGTACCTACAACAAATTCAAAGGTGCAAGAAAAAGAAATTCCAACGTCACCCCAGCTGGACGTAAAAGAATTTCTAGCTGACCCTGCGGTCATCAGGGACTGGAACATGCAGGGATTGCCATCCGACGATTTCAGTACTGAAAACGGTATCATCGTGACCAGAGGGACCAGATGGCCACTAGTAATCGATCCTCAATGCCAAGCAGTGAAATGGATCAAAAATATGAAAGCCAAAGACGTATGCAATCTAATCTGACAAAGAAATAATATGTAACATAAATATATAACCTCAGTTATACGAATAAGAAATAATATAAAGGAATCTTAATTGCACGTTGAATTGGCAAAGAATCTTACTCAAAAGAAAGCATCTGTCTCTTAAATCTTTCAACTTAATTTCAGAACTTAAAAGTGATCGATTTTGGTCAACCAGACTTCGTCAGAGTATTAGAAAACGCGATCCAATATGGTAAACCAGTTCTACTAGAAAATATCGGTGAAGTGATCGATCCAATACTGAATCCCATTCTTGAACGAGCTTTAGTAAAAATTGGTACGTACAGTTATTAAGAAACTAATTATTGAATTACGATTTAGATAAATTGATATAAAATTATTTGTAACATTGATTAAAGCTGTATACTAAATACAAATATAAAGCTATTGCCATTTTTTTTTTCTTGCATGTCATTACAAGAGATTTAAAAGTACAAAATACACGTAAACTGTAAAAATATGTAAGACATCAAAAGCACTAATTCCAATATTCTAGCATCCTAATATTCAGAGATTTAGAGAGTAAAATAAATATTAAATTTAAAATGTTAATTTAAAAATTCTCGTATTTAATTATTTATCTACATTAATATAATATTTCTCTCTCTCTCTCTCTAATTTAATATATAATATGTATTAAATATTGAATTTTATATTAATATAGACAAATACATAATATATTAAATATATAATGTAATATATTAATATAATAAATTATTCATATAATTAAATGTTTATACTGTAACACATTATAAATTATAATTTAAACACATAGATATTTGTTACTTAATATCTAAGATTTTTAATTTATATGGTTTACTCTCTGAACAATCTGTCTGCCTATTTATACTCTATTCTTTTAATTACGTTCACAAAAGTGTACAACTGCCCAAAGTTCATTAATAACAATTTCCATATTATTATAGTTAGAATGTTAGCATTTAATCATCAAAAATTACTACGTATTACATTCTAAAAAAAAAAAAAAAAAAAAATCAGAGAGAGTTGAAAAAGGTGACTAAACGTCGTTGCCACCCTAATCATATTCCAGTGATCGAAACGCGTGAACTTTCCATTCCCCGCGGTATTATCAGTCTCCAGCTACAGTACGTGTTCTTTGATTGCGTAGAGAACCAGCTGATGATCAAGTTCAACGAAAAGATGATCAGCTACCACGACAAGTTCCGGCTGTTCATCACGACGAAACTCGCGAACCCCCATTACGCCCCGGAGATATCCACTAAAACGACGTTATGCAACTTCGCCATTAAGGAACAGGGTAACTAATTGTCTTATCGTGCGTCGGTGGGAAAAGGGTGGACGATAGAGAGCGAAAGGGATGGCCGCTGTGAGCGGGAGAGGTGAAAGAGAGTCGGGCTAGGATCGAGAGGACGTTAGAGAGAAAGAGGCGTACAAGGAGGGACACAAACTCGGGAACCTTATTATCCTGTGCGCAGGACTGGAAGACCAGCTCTTGGGAATCGTGGTCAGAAAAGAGAAGCCGCAGCTCGAAGAACAGAAGGACAATCTGGTCTTCACGATCGCGTCCAATAAACGAACTCTCAAAGAACTCGAGGACAAAATACTCTAGTAAGATATCCTTTGCTTCCTCCGATCTTTTTCCTCTGTAACATGATAATAACACGACCGGAGATAAAGCGCACATAACGCGAGAGTTAACCCCGCGGATGTTCCGAGGTTCAGGGGTCGTGCTGAAGAAACAAATCTTGAGACTTGGTATTGAAATCTATACTGATTTTCAAACTGGATTTAAAATTACATTCTACTGTCAATCTTTGCATGTGGATATATGACACCGTTTAGAAAAAAGTATCCAGAGATACATAGAGTATATAAAGTATATAAAGGCAAACGAAAAAATCTATATTCAAATTTATATTTATGACCTAAGATTATATTCTAGTGACAATCTTTGCACGTGAATGTAGGATACCGTTTTAAAATATCCAGAGATAGTTAAAAGTACCGAAGAAGAAACTTCATCAAAATCTATATTAATGAGTTGAAATTTTATTCTAGTATCGATCTTTAATCTTACCATTTAAAAGTGTTCAGAAATATTTAGAAGTATGCAGAGGAAACCTATATTAAAATCTATACGGACGATTTTAAAAATAATTTTAAATATAAATTTGCGTATGAATATTTTATCAATCTTTGCATATAATACTGTTCGCAAGTGTCCAAGGAGATAGATAAATCGAATTGTAATAATTTTATCCTTCGTAATCCTCGTAATATCGCATATAACGCAATATTACGTCGTGATTGAATTTTAACTACTTTTGCATGATAATTAGCAGCCTCGACATCAACCTGATAATTACAACGCTCGACATTTTTCGAACGTTCAATAAAGTACAAAATACATATTTAACCCCATGGTCGATGAAAAAATTCTCAATAATCGATACCGACCAATAAATTGTTACGTTTTTCTTTCCCCTGTGATCTTTGTATAAAAACTCATACTTATCAGCAATTTGTACAATGTATTTATCGAAAAGTAGACGAAACAGATTTCGCAACTCAGGCAGAAAATTGAGCAGGCGTATGATGTTTATGCGTCTGATGATTTCATACAGCCTACTGAATGTAGCCGGAGACACTTTGCTGGACGATCTGGATTTACTGAGCACGCTGCAATCGTCGAAGACGACGTCGATCTCTATCGAGGAATCATTAATAGTCTCTGAACAAACGGAGAAGGAGATAGATCTCGCCCGAGAGGAATACAGGCCGTGTGCACACCGTGCCGCGATCCTCTTCTTCGTGCTGAACGACATGAGCTTTATCGATCCGATGTACCAATTCGCGCTGGACGCATACATCACCTTGTTTATGCTGTCGATCGAGAAGAGCAGCAGAAGTACAAAGCTCTTCGAAAGGATCGAGAATTTGAACGAGTACCACACTTACGCGTTCTACAAGTACGTGAGTACAAGATGTTGTAAAATACAGTGAAGAGCGCGACTGAAAAATTGTCGATAATTTAAATTGATATAACTTTGTAAAAAAAAAAAAAAAAACCGTTCAAAAAACGATTTACTTGGGCATTATGTGATGAATGGAAGAGTGAGTATAAAAGTATTAACAATTTTTTTTATATCGACTAAATCTACTATGGTCTTGAAGATTAGAATATTTTCTTTGCAACGTTCTCTTAAAATTCGTTCTACGATTCTTTTTTATCATTTTATTGAACTTTGAATTAGGATTAAATGACAAAAATTCAAAAAATCCTAACATCTCGTCATCTGACGACCCTAATATTCCAAGTTCAGTAAAATGATCTGGAAAAAAATGAAAAAAATCATACAACGAGATTTGTTGAAAGGAGTTGTTGGAAAAAGGGAAATTTTCCAAACGATGATAGATTTAATTACGAAAAAATTTTTTGAATGTTTCTGCACACTGTTCAAATTTTTACAATTTTCAAGAAAAAAATATCCTTACTTTACCACCGGCTAAGAACAAACTCACGATTGTAAAAGTACAGGTTTCACATTTTAAAATGAAACCAAACATATCGTTATATGACGCTTCCTTATGAAGTTATATCACTTTAAATTATCAACAATTTTTCATTTTTATCGATGCAGTAATGCTCTTCACAGTATGATAAATATTTGTGAGGTCGATTATAGTCTTAGTATAAAATCCAAATACAAAAATGTCGTTTATAGCTTATTTCTCATATCACAAATAATTTAATTTGATTCTGTAGTAAGATCCACAAACTAGAAAGAATAGATTTCGGTTACTAGATCAGAATGACGAATTACGTATGTAGTATAAAAAAAAAGATTCATTAACTTAAAACAAAAACTGCTTGAAATTCAAATCCAAATTTAAAAGCAAAATCCACGAACTCAAATAAACAGCATAGAATATAAATAATGGATTTTGGCTGTCGTGTCACACTGTATTTCCGACAAATATAAAATATAAAGATGAAGAACATTTTCACAGTTTATTTTCAGCTTAAAACAAGATTGCTTGAAATTTAAATTTAAATTACCTAAAAAAAAAAAAAAAAAACTTCGATACGTACATTTGTACATGAACTCATTTCATCGTTTTGATGTCTAGAATTGACCTGGTATTTTGTGACACGTTATATTCTTTTTACGGTGTGTTATATCGTTAAAAAGGAATACATGTCGAGGCCTCTTCGAACACCACAAGCTGCTCTTTTCCTTTAACATGTGCATGAAAATCCTGGACGCCCAAGAAAAAGTGATTCACAGCGAGTACGCTTTCTTACTTCGCGGCGGGATCGTTTTGGATAGGGAAAATCAGCCAGATAAACCGGTTGCCTGGTTACCCGATGAAACTTGGGATAATATCACGGAGCTGGATAAGCTCGCTGGATTTCACGGGCTCGTTGCTTCTTTCGAGCAATTCCCACGAGATTGGAATAATTGGTATGTTTTCTATAAATCGTGACACCAAAATTTTATTAATAAAAAATCAAGCTGGGAATTCGTGTAATTCATAATTATATTTTCAAGTATAATTCCACAGTTTATTATGGCAGGATTTGGAAGCTAGATGATCAAGACTGAGTATGACGCCAAAAAAAAAATATATATATATATATTTAACTTAATATATATTTGAAACTGAACTTAATTAAACTAAGCTTCTATTACTCACTGTTTATTCAATCCTACATGATTTCATATTGCTTATTCTGTTCCTTTTTCACTCAACATTTTCTCTTAATATGCACATTCGTTTCTCTCTCTCTTTCTCTCTCTCTCTCTCTCTCTCTCTCTCTCTCTTAATATTTTAATATATTATTTTATACGTATTGTGCGCAGCATCATGCAACGCCTGCAAGTTATTTGCGTGTCCGAGCTTAATTTCATAAACTCGACGCGCAATAAATTTCAGCTGCTCCTACGTTATTTTTATGAAATAAAGAAACAACGATATCTACAATGTTACAATGTTACAAATTTAGGTACGTCAACACGGAGCCAGAGAACGCACCCCTAATAGCGGAGTGGGAAACGAATTTGAACGTGTTTCAAAAGATGCTGCTGATACGTAGCTGTCGTCCTGACAGGATTTCCTTCTGTATCGCCAGTTTCATCGTGTTGAATCTCGGTCAAAGATTTGTCGAGCCACCGGTACTCGACCTAAAGGCAGTGCTCGATGATTCCGTGGCACAAACTCCTCTGATATTCGTCCTCTCGCCCGGCGTGGATCCTACGAGCACCCTGATGCAATTAGTCGACAGCCAGGAAATGACCAACCACTTTATGACCCTATCTCTGGGTCAGGGGCAAGCGCCCATTGCCACTAGGTCAGTTTTTAATAAAAGATACCAGGACTTTGGACGTTGAAATCACCTGTCATCCTGTGTGTAGATCAATGACGATTAATGATTTTATAAAAATGACAATGTTAGCATTTAACGTTTTCAATTTTTTTATCAATTTTCGTCCACAACGTCTATTAGTCCTTAATTACTAGTAATTCCATAATTATCTATATAGCGAAGAGTATGACTGAACCAATAATCGATAAGAAATTGTCGATAAACTGTGATAAATTTGTAAAATCACATAACAATCCGTTTGATATCGTTTTAAAACTTCCACTTTGACAATCCTCAGTACGTTTTCTTTTTTTTTTCGGAAATGATTTTACATCGTGTAATGAATGAAAAAGGGTACTTCTGAGAAATTGCAAAAAAACTTCAAACATCTTCAAAAACATTGAAAAATTTTCTTCGTGACTCACCGTCATTTTGAAAAATGACAACTTTTAGAACTTGCTGTATCACTTTCTTTCGCCATTTTATCGAACTTTAAACATTAGAATTAAACGACGAAATTTTAGGATTTCTTGAATTTTTGTCACATAATCAAAATGTTTAATATCCGATAAAATGATGAGAGAAAATCGTACAGAATGTTTTAAAGAGAAGATTTCTGTCTGATCGTAGTGGAACTAGTTATGAAAAATTTTTTTATTGTTTTCAGGAACATTTGAATTTTTATAATTTTCGAGAAGAAGTATTCTCACTTTCTTACTCGCTACATGATGTAAAATCGTCTTCAAAAAAAAAAGAACGAACTAACGACTATAAGAGACTTCACACTTTGAATTGAAACCAAATTGATTATTGTACAAATTCAGTCTGATTTATCGACAATTTTTCATCGTTACTGTGGTTCAATTATAAACTTCGTCGTAAATAAAATCGAAACTAAAATTCACGACATCACTTAAAGATAGCCATGAAAAATATTAAAAAGTCTAATCGTCGTCTCTAATTTTATAAATACCTCTTTATTAATAATGAGAGCTCAAAGTAAAGACTTTCAATTGTCAGATCAACTGTATCTCAAAAATAACAAAGATTTTTAATGCGAAGAATCCTAAATAAAGCTTCGCTAAATCTAAACGCAATGCGTCGAATACGAATAAAAAAGAGGCTCGTTGAAAATTAATTTCCAGAATGATAGAGGTAGGTGCGAAAGAAGGTGCTTGGGTGTTCCTCGCGAATTGCCACTTGTCGCTCAGTTGGATGCCGAAATTGGACAAGATCGTGGAAACGTTGGCGGCCAGTAAAACCATACACCCGCAATTCAGGTTCGCGTTTGATCGTAAGCGTCACGTGAGTCGATAATGAAAGGGGCCACCGACCGATTGCAGATTGTGGCTTAGCTCGAGCCCGACTCCCCAGTTTCCCATATCGATCCTACAGGCGGGCATAAAGATGACCACCGAACCGCCGAAAGGTTTGAAGGCAAACATGAAACGACTTTACAGCTTGATAACCGAGACCCAGTTCGAACTGTGCCAAGCAAAGTCCAAATACAAGAAGCTACTGTTCGCCCTCGTGTTCTTCCACGCGATTCTCCTCGAGCGTAAAAAGTTCCAGCAATTGGGCTGGAACGTCATCTACAGCTTCAACGACTCGGACTTTGTGGTAATTTCGCCGACCGATCCACAATTGGATGCCATCGACAAGATTGAAATACCCCCCTAGTAACAATGTTACCAGAGGCCGCGTCGTTGGTTCAACTCCTTAGCTACGAGCGTTTTCATTTCTCGGAATATTTCGCGATATTTCGTTCATTAAATCGCCAATTTCGTATTGAATGTGTTGTGAAAATTAAACCAACCGTGGAACGCTAATTCTCGTAGAGTAGCGTTCTGTATTTTTCTTATTATGCTTCTCCAACTCGCGGAAACATGTTGGAGCAGAAAAGAGAAGAAAGATGCAATTTAATCAATTACGAAACAAAAGTAACGCGACTAAATTGAAATTCTCAATTGCATTGTAATAATGAAATAAAAATTCAATTCCCTCGTAGAAATATACAATCTGCCATTAAGAATTTCACAACCGAAACATCGACTTTTGGCCCTTTTGCCTGGAATTGAATATTTATTTTCATAGATCTGAAATGTGAAGGAGAATATTCACTGCACTGTGATGTTTCTTTTTGCTTTAAATTCAGGTATCGGAGAATCTTTTACAAGTGTATCTTGACGAGTATCCAGTGACCCCGTGGGAATCACTGAAATACCTCATAGCAGGTGTCTGTTATGGTGGTCACGTGACCGACGACTGGGACCGCCGTTTGTTAATGACATACGTACAACAATATTTCACCGAAGAGGCCCTGACTGTCCCCTATTATCGTTTATCATCGCTACCGACCTATTTCATACCGAGAGATGGTTCGTTGGCGTCCTATCACGATTTCGTCGTGGTTCTGCCGTCCATTGACAAACCGGAAGCGTTCGGTCAACACCCGAACGCGGACATCACCTGTTTAATCATGGAAACGAGGAATATGTTCGAAACGCTGATGGGACTTCAGGTTCAGGCTGTTACCGAGGAAGAAATTACTAAAGAGGAGAAGGTTCGTCAAACGTTGCAGCAGAACATTTCGTTTAAAGGTTCATTGATATTAGGTCACATGAAATGTCGGATTTGTCCTCATTCAACATTTGAGCGTTGGTTTCCGTTCATACGTTCGAGCTATTCTTTGATTAAAAGTTGCTTGATATTTCTGAATTCAGAAAAGATGCTTTTCAATTTTGAATTTTATTTCTCTTCTCAAACGAGCTTCCTTCAACATGTTGAATTCGTACTCTTTTCTCTAGAAAAACTTTCAGAGTTAACTTACGAAATTCTCCTTTAACAGTCCTATTCACCAGACTTTTACCTTTTCAGAAGTGTGGAATCAGTCCTGTGTCAGAAAATGTAATTCACGGAAGTTTGTCGAAAAGCAAAACTTCTCCGAAAAGTATTTTCTCGTTAGAATTTCACTGGACGAATGGTCGTGGTGCCTATTTTGATTAAAGTAATAAATGATTAATGTTCTCAAAATACTCAACATAAATTTTTGTATTAAAAATCCGACATTTCGTATCACGACCTAGTATTATCGATGAGCCGCGCACGAGCAGAACGAAAGTACTATTAAAGCACATATTGATGCTGATAGATTTTATATTGTACAAAATAAAATTAAGCGCCTCAAAATTTCTTGCAATATAAATTACCAATTTATATTTAATTTTATATATAGTTAGTTAAGTTAGTTATTTCAGTTACTATACAGTCACTATAATTAGTTATTAGTTGATCATAGTTAGTTAGATTAATAAAGTTCCACAATAATAAATCCGTATCAGGTCACTCAGTTAATCACGGACGTGCTCTCGCGAATACCAAACGACATCGATTACGAGACAGCTGAGAAATTGATAGGCCCGAAGAAAACACCATTGGACGTGGTGTTGCTCCAGGAAATACAACGTTACAACGTTCTCCTGAAAAAGACTCGTGGCAGTTTAAAAGATCTTCAACTGGCGATCCAAGGTTTGGTGTTGATGTCGCCGGATCTTGAGGAGATCTTCAACTGCGTATACGAAGGTCGAGTCCCCTCGATTTGGCTGACAGCGTATCCGTCGTTGAAGCTGTTGGGCGCCTGGACGAGGGATTTAGTCAGCAGGGTGGAACACTTCAGTGAATGGGCTCAAACTACTCATCCGCCGTTGCTGTTCTGGCTGGCCGCGTACACGTTCCCAACTGGCTTCCTTACCGCCGTATTACAGACGTCTGCCAGGCTCTGGGGCGTCTCTATCGATTCCCTGTCCTGGGAATTCACCGTTTTTACGATCGACGAGTCGGCCATAATCGAACCGCCGGTGGTAACTTCATATTAAATACTACACCGCGTCTTAAGTTTAACTGGCTTTAAATTACGTCGGTGTTAAAGTACGCGCTGAGTTTTACGTTCAACGCTTCATCGATGAAATGAATACGACAGACTCGAGTGAGATGTCGAGTAGGTAACGTTGAAAGACCTAATGTTTTGCTGTTCAAATTCTTACTTTGAACTTTCTGTTTGTATTCTAAGATATGAAATTAATTTTATTCCTTCATTATTTTTAAAAAAAATTAAGAGTAGAACGTGGATATTCGTGTATTTGTAGATACAAATTTCAATAAAAATCGGCAACCTATCGATGGATATACGTACGTTTGTAACGTATATAAATATGAATATTGTAAACGTGTAAATATAAAAACCTCACTTGTATGTCTATTGACAAAGAGTTATTTAAATCTTAATGAAATAACACTTTCTGGAATATATTTTTTAAAACGTCACCTACGTGTTCATCGACGAAGTATTATTAAATTTCAACAAAATGACACTTTTTGGAGCTTTTGCTGAAAAAAAAATAAAGGAAAAAAGTGTATTTCGATAAATTGTCCCCGTTGCAAAAATTGAAAAAGGCGCATGCAAAATGCATCAAACACGCCTGGAAATCAATCCAATTATTCTGGTTGCCGAGCGTTGTCTGAGCGTCCCTTTCAATGAAAGAAGAAACGAGCCGCGGAAAAATAGGGAGGGATAAAGAATTCAGCGTGGTAATATCGCTAGGAAAATGGCGGCGTGTGTGCATGCCTCTAATCGTGTGTACATTCCATTACAGGACGGCGTGTACATACGCTCTATCTTTCTGGAAGGCGCTGGCTGGGACAAGAGGAACAGTGTCCTCGTCGAGCCGGCTCCCATGCAACTTGTTTGCAACATGCCGGTAATTCACTTCCGGCCCACGGAACAGCTTAAAAAGAGAAGCAGAGGTAACGACGCCGACGTTGAAATTATTCGAGAAAAGTTATTCGCCACATTTAAGAAAATGAAGAAAACCTTTACTATTTTATGATTATGTAATAAAAGAAGGATCGTACCTTGTCCATTTCTTTGACAAAGAATAATTTCTATTAGAATTTCTTTTTCGTTTTCCTGCCGGTACTTGCACTTTTTAGTGTCATAATCGAAACATTTTCAATTAATACTATTTAGCAATACCGTTTCAAATTATGATTACACAGTAAAGAGTGTAATTAGCAACGACAATGAAAGACTGTCGATAATTTAAACTTTGTAAAAAAAGAAAATCATACAACAATCTATTTGTTTCATTTTAAAATATGAAGCTTCTACGTTGACAATTGTGAATTGGTTTGCTTCGAAGATGACTTTACACCATACAGCAGATAGAAAACTGGGAATATTCTCTTCTCGAAAGTTGTAAAAATTCAAACGTGTGTAAAAACATGAAAACTTTTCTCTCGTAATTAGATCTACCGTCACTTTGAAGATTGAAGATTCTCCTTTACAAAACGTATGTCTCCTTTACAAACGTACGATTTTTCTTACATACCGACAGTTTTTCATTGTCATTGGTATAATTGTGCTCTTTGCTATGTGTATAAAATTTAAAATACTTGGGACATTAATTTTGACAGATATTTTTCTATATCACCGTATTTCCTTTCAATTTCTGTACACAGGATCCTACACATGTCCCTGTTACTATTATCCTCAAAGAAGCGGGGCTGAAGGACGACCATCATTCGTGGTAGCGGTCGATCTAAACGCAGGTCCAGAGGGATCGGATTTCTGGGTTAAAAGAGGCACTGCTCTGTTACTAAGTCTCTCCACATAGATTCGTGTTAATTATTGTTATCATTGTTATTGTTATTATTAATTAATTAGAATTAACATATCAAGCGCGACCGTAGTAAAGGAACAACGTCAGTTTCAACATCACTCTCACTCTTCCTTTCGATTCCTTCCTATTATACTTGGTTAGTGTGTAATAAAAATTTGTCTTTATAAATAAGAGAATATATATACAAGAATTTGCAATACAACAGACAGTTGTAACTTCTTTACACGCGAATTTAGAACCTCGTCGCCATGGTGAACACATGGAACGAGCTCACGAGACAAGGAACGATCAACCAATCCGTGAACTTTTTAGGATTATCTGACGATGATGATTCGGACCTGACTATCGCTGCCGCTTGTTTCTGATTGTCGATATTTTTCAAAGCATCTGAAATCGTTTTATTCATTCGTGACGCGTATTGAATCCACTCTGTTGGCAGAACCGTGCCTGAATTCACTGGTGGTTCGAGATCAGACAGCTTGTCTTTGGCTTCGAGCAAGATCCTCATCATACTCCCCGTTTCTATCTGATCTTCTTTCTTCAAACTATCCACCAAATTCTTCACGGTGGAATTCAGCTGTGTTTGAAAGCTGATCCAGTCAGCCGCGGTTTTGTTATTATACGTATCCGCGACCAAACTCCTCAGAGCTGATATTTCGTTCTTGATATCGGCGAAAGACTCGTTGAACATCTCGTGAAGCTCGTCGAGATTAAATCGATCAGTTGCATTCGCATTATTCAGGATATTCATCACGGTGTCGTTAATCTGTTTCTTAAAATCGGCCCATTCATCGAGGGGGATGACTGGTTTGATAAATTTGGTGTAATCAAACTTAAACGGGTCCCCGGATTTGTTGAACGTAGCTTGAACACTCAAGGAACTTCTGTTTGGTTTCAACTTGCTTATCCAGTCAGCCTTCGTAGTTGCAATTTCATCTTTCAGCTTCGCGAAATCATTCTTCGCGGAATCCTTGAAAGCAGCCCACGCGATAGGATCAACCTCCGCTGGTTTCTTGCTCTGAATATCCTGGATCAGTTTGGTCAAGGAATCGTTGATCTGAGCTTTGAATTGTAACCAATCGTCTGTCAGATTGGCCAGTTGCGTGTTGTTAAACTTACTTTTCGAGGGAGCTCTTAAATATCCACGTTGGGGAATTTCGCTTAAAGAAGACAACGTCGCAAGTTCCATGGGCGATGGAGTGGTCTTGAAAGCAGAGAAACTCTTTACAATCTCGTCTCTGTACGTAGCCCATGCTGGATCGCCTGGTGGAGGCATTTCGTTCTTAATTTTATTCACAGCGTCATTTACTGTCTTAATGATGTCAGATTTGTAGCTTATCCAATCGTCATTAACGGATGGTTTCCCCGTAGCTAATTCAACAGGAGCTGCAGTAGATCTCTGACTATCGATCTTGTCTCTGAACGTGGAAAATCGATCTTTGATATCGTTTCCAAAAGTGGCCCAAGCTGGATCACCAGGGGGAGGCATATTGTCGTTTATACTCGCAATACTATCGTTTATAGAAGATATGATATTATCCTTAAAGTTCTTCCAGTCAAATATTGCAGGAATCGTAGCATTCTTGATAGTCGAAGACTCCGTTAGTTTATTCTGACTCGTCAAAGCCTGTTCTTGTGCGTTGTTCTTCATCTTCAATTTTGGAGCAACATCTGTCTTCATAGACGAGATTTCATCCTTCAAATCAGCAAACTGATCGACGATATTCTGTTTAAAAGCTATCCACTTGGCCACTGCAGCCGGTCCACCACCGATCGTCTGTATGGAGTCATTCAGTGACTTCACCAGATTATTTTTAAACGTAATCCAATCCTGATAAACGCTTGGTGATCCTGCTGCTCTTAAAATAAGACTGTCAGAGTCCGTTGACAATTTTGCCTCGGGTGTAGAATCGTTTGTCTTCGGTGGATGCAAACCAGATAGTTGGTCTCGAAGATCGGAGAATGTATCGTTTATGTAATTCTTGAAGGCTAACCAGTCAGTGTCTATCATAGTCCTGGAACTGTTGATGTAAGTCACAACGTCTCTGATTGTATCGTTAATATTGTTCTTGAATGCGGTCCAGTTGACTGGCGCGAAAGTAGCTCGTAACGTGGGAGGCGTTGAACCGTTTTCTCTCCATGGTTCAAAGGATGGCGCTGGAATGTCCTCGCAAGACATCATAGGATTTTCTGTACCCTCTGCTCGCATAACTTCCGCCTGAGTTTGTGTTACGCCGTCGGAACAGTCGCAGATCAATCTCGCCAGTGACATTTTACGTAATTCTGTAAGCTGGCCTGAAAAGAAAAAAGAAATGAATAAATATTATCACGCATCTGCGTTGTATTTCATTTATTACAATTGCGTCTAATAATATAATAATAATCTTGTTCAGAAGTTTGGAAAAATGAAGTCAGTCATAGTTGTTCCAATGGCGATAAAATTTCTTTCATTTCAATGCATTACATATGTGTTTTTTTTATATAAAAAAAAAAAAGACAAGTTTCTGCGAAAACAGAATTTAAAACTTAAAATTCGATTCCAAAAGAATTAAAGTCTGTGATTAATATACGATTAAAACACCATTTCTGGATCATCTGATCATCAATAATTATATTACCTTCTGTGAACGAGTGCGGTTGTCCAGACAACTCGTACCAGAATCTATCTCCTTTCTGCAACCTAGCAAACTGATCAGCGATCAAACACGTAAAAGTTGGCCCGACAATGCCGTCAGCCTTGGGTAATTCAGCCAAAGCTCCGGTATATAAATCGACATCGTGAACCGACTTGTACAAAGAGGAAATGTCTTCAAGAGCCTGTGGATCCAAGTGTCCTTCCAAGTCGGAGAAACTTTCTACCTTGCCCAGTCCGCAATATTCCCTCCATTTGGCGTATCCAGGTAGGCCGTGATCCCTTCCGCGCTGGATATTCAACGATACCAAATCCAAGCCGCAGGGCACGGTAACGTTAGCGACGGGATCTTCGAACAGATGATTGGTCAGTTGAGAAGTGACATGAGTAGACGTCATCTGGATCACGTTCCTCGTGGCAGAAGTCACTGAACTCTTCACGCCACCCTCTGCGTACAGACTGTACGGATTGAACAGCATTCTATGCAGTTCTACGTAAGAAGAAGTTTCCCTTTGCTCGTCAGTGACTTTCATCAAACCAGGTAACAGAGTATGAGCGAATCTAAAGGCGGCTGCTGCGAAACTGTTAGCTATGCTTGGGTCGGTACCAGACTCATCCGTGTCGCCGGTCCATTGTCTATAGCCAGACTTGAGAGGCCTCAGATCGCGTAGATTCGTTTCCTGCTCACCGAGGACAATAGGTATGAATTCTCGATAGGTGACATGCTGCAATTGAGCGCCCACTATACGTCGAGATTCCTCGTACAGAGTTTCATCATCCCAAGAAGGGTTGATCTTGGCCAATTGCTCGGCGACCCTGTTGTGCTGTCGCGCCCAGAGCAGATGCATCGTCGTCAAGTGCAAGTTCTCGTTTGCCCTGGCGTCGCCGGCTGCGAAGCAGTACCTGCCTCTCAGCCTTTCGGCCTCCCGATTGCAACCGTCGTTAGGATTCGTGCTCGGTGGTAACAGTGTTCGATTGTCCGGTGTTAACTGCATCGTCAGCCGTCCGCCAGAAAACTCCCGCAGTTTCCGCGCTGTGCCCTGATCGGATCCATAGATCGCTGAACCATCGATAAACGCCGTCACCTGTGAAACACAATGTCCATTCATCGGTTTTCATCGCTTTGAGACAGATACGAAAGAGGTACCACTCTTTGAAATCGAAAAGAGCAACGAGCAGGCGTGTTTAACAGTGTAATTTCGTTCCCATTGTCCGGCTCGCCATTGTCCGAAGTCGTTATTAGGGAGATAACGAATGTGTCATTACGATCGAACCTCGCCTCACCGACGTGCGGGTGATAATCAAGTTAATTAACAACGCGACCCGCCGATCGCGTATTGTTCCAGGCGAACATTTTTCCTTCACCGCGTGAGATATCAATTTCACGCAGCCCTGTATTACGACTGACCCCGTTGAAGGGGGCCAAGAATTAACGCACGCAGTGTTAAAACTTCGATTCATACGAACAATCGTTAATCGTCGAAACGAACTACAAACGAAACTACGTACTTGATTCAACTGTTGTCTTGGACCAAGTTTGCACTGGGGTGCAGGGGCAGATCTGGCGAAGTCCATGCACGTCCTCCCAGTCACGTCGAAAACAGGATCTCCGGAGGACACCGGAACAGAGAAACACTCTGGATGGCCGACAGATGGTGGACAACAAGAGATTGAAGTGCCGTTGACACCCTGACTGATCGCGGTAGCGGTGATATCGTGGTCCAAGAACTGGCCATAAACAGCTAGCATCACGGTGAAGTGAGGATTGCTGCTTGGCGAAGGTTTGTGAACCTTCAGGCTGACTTCTCTTGCCGAGGGTAGCTCGGCTCCTGAAATTGCTCTACGAGGAGTCTCGATGCCATCGGCGTAGTTAGGCGGTAGAATCCTTCTGAAAGGTGTCATTGTTGCACCCCGTTGCATCGGTCTGTTGCAACTTCCATCCAAGGTTCTGTATTTACTGAACGGACATTCCGGAGTGACTAGCTGCTTGCAAACACCCAAAGATTCCCAGCCTGCGTCGAAGAAGCTCCCCACGGCAGAGGGTGCTCCGAAGACCATCCTTGAACTCTCGATTCGTTTGGTCGCTGCAAGTTCTGCCACAGCTGCCAGAGCTAGTGTCCCAGTGCTCAGGCAGGTGCTTACTGCGTAACGGTGTCTTACTTCCGGAGAAGGTGACGGTAACGGCGACATCAGTGCATTGACGTCTGCGAAAAGTCGCTCGTTAACAGCTTGACGGCCTGCCTGCAAGCCTTCTTTTATCTCGTCGTCCGACAGTTGCGTCGCAGTGGTGTCTTTTGTAGATTTGTCTGACACGAATATAGAATTGGAGGCTGGCACGACGGAAGGATTGCTAAAGAGAGTGTAGGATCCAGATCCTGGAGCGAAGCCCAGTTTTAAAGTACCGGTGAGATTAACGGTGGATTGAAACGAAGTATTGGTGAGGTTTGAACCGGAGGCGTCTAGTATGTCGTGGCTCACGGAGTAGCTTATTGTTATAACGAGAGCCATGGTGAAGATTGCTCTGAAATAAAGGCACAATAAAGATTTGTAACAGTATGCTTCTTACACTTTGTGGGCAATCTGGATTATTCATACCCATAAATATATTTTTTGCAATTTCAAAACTTCTAAGAAACGTAAGAAAATCCTGTGACAGTTATTTACGTCTTTGTTACGTTATATAATCGTTCATTATAATTTTTCTCGATGAAAATAAAAATTTTCTTCGAAGAAATTAAAGGGACGAAATTGCGTTCGTTTACTTACTAAAGATGCATAGAAATGAAAATGATCATTTTTTGATAACTCTTCAGAAATTAAAATTAATTAATTTCGTAATAACAAGTTTAGTTTTAACAACTGGCGCTCAGTGTGCAAATCAAATGAACGCTAGATGTAAATTTTTGAGATTTTGCGGAGAATCATTGATTCGAATACCATCGGGATAGAATAATGTATCTTAGAGATAGCTACTTGTACGTAACGTTGGGCAACCACACTGTCACCGTACAATTGCGCGTACAATCAAGGCCAACGTCACGTAACACTAATTAGCCTACGCACAAGACGCCAAGTTCCAGACTGTTTGCACCTCGTAAACGAATTACGAGGTGTTCCACCCTACAAATGCGATCAGGATAAATCGTTGTTCTTAATACTCGTCAGTTGGTGTCAAGGAGAGTCTTCAAACGACAGACATCTCTACACGAGTAATCCGCTATTCCATTAACGAGCAACGTAGAAATCTAAAAGCTGAAAGTGGCAATAACAAGTGACGTCGATGATCAGGATAGAATTGCTGCACTGTGGACTCGTTGTAAACTCACACGTGTTCAACTGGTGCCGAGACGAAACCGCAATAGAGAAACCATGGTTTCGTTATTGCACGAATTACTTCACGCACTCGCTTCGATATAAAGTCTAAAAACTCTCTAAGAAGTTAAATCTAGCTCGAATATATTTTTATTGCAGTTAATCATTCTACGAAACATTACGAAAATATCAATAGTCAATAATTTTGGTGGTAATGAAAATTTTGCTGGCGTCACTGCTGGAAAATGTCGACGATCGATTAGCGAGCAAAATTTTCGTATCACGATCGAACGATGGAAAACGAAAACCAAATTGAACTGTATCATTTTCAATGTTGTTCTAAACCATCTCTTATGTACCATCTTCTATCTGTTTGAAGTAAAATCGCGAGATGAAGAGACGAAGAATTCAGACGAGAGAACGAGAAAGCAAAAATGATGAGAATGTGACTCACACCGCGATCGTGTACGCGAAACATCGTAGCTGCAGCCGTTGCCTCCTCTGATGAGAATAAAATGGCAACGCGTCGTGCACGTAGCACACCCTGGCTGACTTGTCGTCGGTCAACGGAGTCTTCTCCGAGGAAGGCATTCCTGGTTGTACGCGGACCCAAGACCGGACTGAAACGATCGGCCGGCCGGTCGACCGGTTGTTCGATGTGAGAGATGATTTTATGTAAGCATACGCTTACGGTGGGGACTCGATGCGCAATGACTTTTTTTTTTTTTCTTTCGAGAGGATACGATGGAAACGGTATACTTAATGAACTTGTACAGCGTTCCTTTATGTGGATTCCGGAGTTGAAGATGCACGGTGAAATCTTCTATGATCGGTCCGAGTGAAAGAAGGATTAATTTGGATAATTTAATTATCAACATTGTCATACAGTGTTATGAAAAATTGGCGAATTGAAAATCTTACTACGCAATAATTCGTCGGCTAATAATTTCAAGTTGTAAATTATAGATTTCTATTTTATAATTTTATAATTTTACGTAGTTTTATAATTTTATAGTTTTATAGTTATTTTTACGTAGTTTTATAATTTTATAGTTTTATTTTTTATAGTTTTATAATTTTATAATTTTACAGGATGATTGAATAGCTTGTAGAATTTTATTTGATTTAAAACCGAATTTGTTATTCATAAACTGCACTGTTATGCAAAATGTATTAACAGTGATAATTTACGACTATTGTAAAATTTCAGTGTGAAAATCTAAAGAATTAATTTGATGCGAATTCATTTTTAAGAATGAATAATTTTAATTTCATATTGTGTGAGTACATTAAAATTATGATTAAAGAAAATTTTAAGCAAAGAACTTCGAAATTATATATGTGATCGCGATTGATTATGTATGCCATTTTGCGCAATTTGTTTATAGACTGTTGGTTGCTTTGCATCACGCGAGGAAGGCAGACCGCCTTCTCTTGTAATTATATAAATACGCAGACGCAAACACTTAATGCGTTCGGATTGATACCGTTCAGGTGTAAATCGCAATTTAAAACACATGTAAAGCATCGAACATTCCAACAATATTCGCAACGGATAATAATATTCTTACCATCTCTATTGGAAAACTATTTCAGTCGGATATAAAAAAAAAATACACGCTAACAAATTGTTTATTTCATGTGACAAGCTGTTTGTAAAAGAATCTCTATTGAAATTGATTGATGATTTAGTTAAACATACAAATAAAGAAAATTACAGAGAACTTTCATATTTTTAACGACCCTCAGACTTGTTTTATAAAAACGGAAAAGAAGAAAACGTTCTGACACTTCAATCTTTAAATATTTTCGACAACGTTCTCTAACTTAAAAAAAGAAACAAAACGAAGAAAAGTAAAAGAATATTAAAGCAACGCTTAAATTAAAATTCTTTAATCTTTCAATATTTCCACCAATTCTTCCCGTACTTTTTAAAAGAAAAAAATATAGAAAACAAATGAACTCTATGTTTTGTTCAATAGTTTAGAAGTAGAATAAAAAGATAGAAAGGGAGCACTTACATTAAAGTGGCGCAGATGCAGCACTGAAACTGTCTGATTCGAGTTTTCCGGGTCCTCAACAAGCTGGCGAATTCCACGTAGTCCGGAGAATCCAAGGGTCTCGTGAGTGAGGTCCTTTCGTTAACTCGTCTATCCGAATACATGGTGCGAACCACGAAGCCTCACTGACGGACGACAAAAAGAAATCTCGTGGAAAATAGTGATTGTATCGCGTCGACGATCACGGTGGTGAACAAAAGTGAACTGGCGTGGACAACGTCGACATCGAGGATGTTGTCGCCACACTGATTCGACCCGAGTTCCACAACTCGACTCCGCTCGAGACGACTCGGCTTACCAAAGAGGAACCGACGCGAATCGGAACTTCCGGTCCCAGTGGACACCCTCTTTCTATCAACACATTGTCAAGATATCACTTGTCACTTTCTACACTGCATTCTTTCATCAACAAGTAAGTGGTACTGTTTCACGTTTAAAAACGTTGAAAAGATTATTATTATTTTAACCGTGCGAACTTATTTATTACAAAACTGTAGCATTATAATATTTATTAATACATTGTCAACGAATTGAGAAACAGTGATATACATCAATATCATGATTAGACTGATAGATTTTTTATGCATTTATAATTTAGAAAATTTTAAGATTTAAAATGTACGAATACATAGAATGAACGTAGTATATAAAAATAGAAAAACTAAACTAGAGTATTCGCTATAATATGTAATAGGTGAGAAAAATTTCTGCTTAGACTTTTTTTTTTAGTTGTGACTCTCTGTGTAACGTGATAACGTAAATTTACATAAACATCGACACTCTAATCTTGATTATAGAAATCTAGAATTAACTATAATTAGAGAAATCTAGAATTAAGTATAAAATAATTAACTATAAAATAGTTAAGTATAAAATAATTAACTATAAAATAATCAGATAACATTGGAAATGATGAATCAAGTTTAAAAGTATAATTATTGTTATTACATAATTTAGAACAAACGAAGAAGATATTCAAATAACTTTGTGAGGATTTGTACATTCATGACTGTATCGTAAGAAAGACGATATAAAATATTTAAAGGTAACAAATTGAAGTTTGTATTAGAATCAAGAAAAAATTGAAGACATAATGAAACTAAAATTTGGTAATTCAATTGTGGACAGAAATTTTGTCCACAAAAACGTCCAAGTAAAAACAGACAGATTACATTCATTGTCAGACAGAAACTCTAAAAATAATCATAAGTAACAAAGACTATCTACAATATATAAAAGTAATTAACAAAAAATGCAACAAAAAATATCACGATACCGCATATACTATGCCTCGAAATACTAGTTAGAATACTCAGTTGAAACAATAAGTTTCAAGTATAAAATAGGATTTTTTTCTTTTTTAAGTAAAGGTCACATGACAGGATCAATATCGATTTTCACCCAAGAGATTAAAAAAGCTTGCGATGTAGGAAAAGCGAAATATCAGTAAACAAACTCTAACTCGACAGTGAAACACGATACGAACGATGTCTACATACGATATGTCGATGAAATATTAGATAAATTTCCAAACAGATTTAAAGATCTTAAAATCCTTTTTGAGCAACCAATCAAAAGTTCTCAGACATACGAACACTTAGGAATTCGAACTTTTGCGAACGTGTGTAAGAACATGAAAATAGAAGAAAAATCGTGGTAAAGTTTCTGGGTGAGCTATTAACGTAACAGCGAGAGCAACAATCGAAGATAAAGGCAATTAAATCGGGATTACTCTTAAATCCCGACTATCTTCGCATTCACTCAGAACGCCTTGACGAGCCACTGTTATCGAGATATCTACCACACTGCGAGCATTGTATACGTACATAGTGCTCTATACGCTTAAATATACCTACGCCAACTTTACGACTGGTTTGCTTTATATAAGAAGAATTGAGGATCGACGGCCGAGAATGAAACACGAGCTGCCTCACCGCACTTTTATTCTGTGGTGTCTATGGATCGAAGCTGAGGAACGGCTCCGTTTAGAATAGATCATCGACACCGTTGCAGAACCAATCGTATATACTAAAACAACGCGAAAGTTAATAAAGAGACTTTAATATCGTAGCTTGTATAGCAAGTATAAACGTCGAATATTCACAACAATTAATGCGGCGACAGTTTAACTCTGCCTGCAGATTTTTACTTTTTTCAACGAACAAAGATATGAACAGACTTACAAAAAGAAAAGTTTTTTATGATAAGTGTACAAATAAGTTTCTTGAGTCAAAATACATATATGTATGTCTTTATAATTTACATTAATTAATAATAATACATTATGTGTGTCTTTATAATTTACATATTAATTTATTAATTTTTTTTTTAACTGTGCAGTGTAATTTTATTAATACACATCACGCACGTCATATAGAAATCAATAGGAATTGAATGTATATCTCATTAAAGAGTCGTTGACTTTCAAGAAAACACGCAGATTAAGCCAAGCCGATTAAGCCAAGCCAAGCAGATTAAACTAACTGCAGTTAATTATTCGCCAGAAATGAAAAGTAAATGAGCTTTTTCTACACTTTTTTATAGAGATGATTGTGAGTCGATTCTTGAATTTTCAATTTTTTTACAATTACCAAAATGCTTGGAACTGTTCTACGCCTATTAACTCAATTATATTACTGTGAATTGCGTCTATTCTGTGGTTCGCCAGTAATCACTTTCTCCAAAATGGTTCCTGACTGCTAATCTAATTGCTCTGATGACTGCAAATGCTGTTCGAAATCAATAAAAAGGAAAATAATAGTTTTGTTAATCTATGTACTTTTACCCTTCTGATAATATCTTCCTGGAGTTAAAATGATAAGTTTTTAGAAAGAATCGTTTATCTAGAACCCTCAATCATGCGAACTTTAAGACCCAATAATCTATATCATCAAAACTGTTTATACTCACGTTTTCACGAGCATTCGTGCATTCCGCGGTTACGATTATTAACAAAACAACAGTAATAAACACGAACACTTCTGTGAATCGGTGAAGAAAAATCGATTTATCGATGACAATCGTGGGAAATCTAATGACCTGCTGTCACGTGTCAAATCAACGATCAACGCGAGCAACGTGCTCCCTGTTGATTATCCACCCTCTCTACGGGTGGCCAGGTAGTAATTATGAAAGCGGCGCATCGATCGTAGTGCATCCACCGCTAATTACAATCTTCGACGCGTCGTAAACGTGACAGGATGTAATTAACTGAGTCCTTCCGTCAATCGAATACGAAAATCAACGGACCACCGATAATCTGGATCGTTACATCGCGTTCCACCTCGAGAATCGTTGCGTTCGATTCCAAAGCAAAGACTCGACTGATGTCCAACAGTCAATCAGAGGTCGACGTTCAGCTAGTTGAGTCTTGGTGCAACGTATTGTCCTTTTTTTATTTCGTAACGTAGATAAATGCGTAACATAATATGTGACGCGAGTCCCCAGAAAGGTTTCCTTTCCCGTTGACGGGCTTCGGGTGCATAAATCGCTTGAATTCGCGCCGGGGGATCTCCTGGCTTTGTTGAAACAATACACGCGCGAAATTGGCCTATTATGTAATTCACCGTTGTTGCTTATAACATTGCATCCAGATTGCACGATGTTCCCATTCAAATTTAATTAAAACGGGGTAGCATGCGCGAAGAAGTGACGAAAAAAGACAGAAGAATTTGACCTAAATTTAAATACTGAAATTTTATGATGAATTTAATAGCAATTTCGTTGAAACGTGTTTTGGTGTTATTCGGTGCAACAAAAATTGTATCTTTTCGAGGCACGAAGCTCCAGCCATTGTTCCTGGTTGGGGACATACATTTCCGCTGGCATGCGTTCCAATCCCGGGGATTCGGGTGATCCACGCTCGTTTGTCCTTCTGGCTGAACCATGAGACAGAGGGAAAAGTCATTTTTTACCAACTCGAAAGCAAGTTGCCCTAGTTTTATATTAATTCTATTTCATACTAAGTCTTTTCCGCATAGAAATTGCCTCGCCAGGGTGTCGGAGGAGCAATCGCCCCACTCCTTCGCATCGTCGTAGCACTTCGTTTTTCAGCAATTGATCTCGTACATTCTGAGAAATGATGGGGCAATCTGTCACCCATTTCGATACATATGCGAAGTCCGTGAGTAGTTGCAAAGCACCATATTCACTAAAAAAATATCTTCAGATATTTTACTGCATCATGTTTCTATTTCGCTTTTTATCCTTAGTCCTTTTCTTTTTTTTTTAAATCAAGAATAAAGACCAGGATTAAATGGCGTGATTTACCTAAATTTAATACGATGCAGATAGATGTAATCCAACCACGCTTCACACATAATTTTTAGAATCATGTTCGATGTCTCAGGATCTTCGATAACTTCCAACACTGGGAGTAATACTTTCTCTGTGGAGTAGATATCTTTAAAGAATCAAACGTACGTGTAAAAGGAATTTTCTTACCAAAGTAAGGCTCCACATAAAGACTAGCGGCCACTGGAGCGACGTCGCTTCCTTTCCTCCAGTAACTCGATCGTGGAAAACACATGTGCAGGTTCGCCAGACTGACCACGCGACAAATTTTTGCCAGAATATCTACGCATTTCGCAGAACATTTCTATAAACAGGTAACAGAATAAGTAAAAACATAAACCTTTAAAGCTTTCCAAATCCACCGTCTACCTGTAGCAAATCTATATTGACGTTCACTTCAGACACGATTTTCGCTCTCATCTTCGCACAAACGTATACCTGAACACTCACAGAATTTGTCGATAATGTATTCGTATGATCGGCCAACTAAAACAAAAAATATTTTAATGCAACATATAAAAACTTTTAACAAAGACTTTCTGTATAAAATAGTCAATTTTGTAATGAAACTGAGTTTTACCTTTAAATAAGAAAGTTCTTCGAGGCAATTCACAATATCACCTTTTACCAAAAGAAAGAACACGTCCAGTTCCCATGTATGAGCTATGATTTTCGCCTCCTGCACAATCCATAATCTCGCTGTGTGTACCGAATGATCTAACCGATGAAGAACGACGATCTGTTCCGATAACGGTAATTCCATCAACGGTGCTCCTATCACCCATTCACCACCTGCCTCGCACTCGTTGCTCAACCTAACGAGCAACTGAAACAGCTCTACGAACATTTGACCCGTGTCAGATCCCTGGAAATTTAAACCAACCTTTTCAAATCATTCTATATTACAATTTATTATTCAGAAAAGTACTAGTTCCTGATCAAAATTTTGAATGGATGGAAAGTTTCTTATTAATATTTCAAAATTTTATATTTGAGATCTCCACCCATTTCCTCTCCCACAAACTCGCATGTTGATCGGGAACTGATGCATTTCGGAGTTATAGCTCAATTTATTATTTTATTGTATTCTTAACTTAATATTATTATAACATTATTTCAGTCTATTCTCCTATTCTTAAATATTGTTTTATCTTTAGCTTAATAATTCTCCTCTGTGACCAGAAGATCGAAATTTATCTATTGTTTTTCTTTTTCAATAAAAGAGACACTCGCCTCCGTGGTAGAAGCTTTAGACTGATACTTGAAAGCTGATGTATAAGCCAGTCTAAATAACTGGTCCCATTCTGTGATTGTAGCATGACAACCAAGTGCATCGCAAAGATTCTGTAACGCTGGTCTCACCGTTTGAGGTACTAAAATTTTAACAAATACAATAGTTTATTAAAAATCTTAGATGTGCATTGATATTAGTATTTCTTTTGTACCGTGATTCTTCTGGATAAATTGACTAAGCCAGTCTTTGAGCTGCTGTGCTCCATGATTATGACGAGTAGCGAGAGCTTCTGGGGACCACCATAGGACCACATGATCCAGAATGCCTGATAAAGCACCCCACGCAACTTCTTGATAATAATTTTTCACCTTCTTTATTGCGCTGCTTCTCAATCTTGTTTCTCCTTTCATGATTATATATATTTTATTCAGTTGAATTAATAATTAATATGTAATACTTTCTAAGCTACATTTATATGTCATTGTTTCATTAAATTGTATAAACAATTTTAAGCGAATTTTATAATTATATAAGAGCAGAAATTCGATATTCGCAATAACAATCATTAAGCCTTTACCAGGGACGAGGGTTTAGAAATGAAAAAAAAATTTCATTTTTACCTTTGCTAGTTTTTAATGCATCAGTGCCCAATAATTTCGGTGAAACTTCTTGCACGATATTTAACAGTCTGAGCACCTGTTCGTTTTGAGAATTGACCAATGTCTGAATACTCTCGATGTTTGATACTTCCGCCTCCGTTTTCGAGATGGTATTTTCGATCGGCGGTGTCAAATGTCTCGTAAGCGCTCTGCGAACCAATTTCTCATGAAATACGCAACAAAAAGAAAAAAATGAAGTTTTCTACACAAAATCATTTAATACGGCTGCCTAACCGATAAATCTCGATACTAGAATTTTCGGAAACATCGACGTCGCCAGACATCGCTGAAGAGGGATCAGTTTTCTCGTGAGGCTCGTAATTTGCTAAAAGGCAGTCAATAAGTTCGTGGCAGGATTCTTCCGCTCTATTTTTGGCCAGCACCTGGAACCAGCTCAATGAATCATTTGTCGTTCAAAGTTTGACTTATTGTTAGAAAATCTATCGTACAAATTATCGACTCCAATATCATTCTATTCCTTTTGTCGAATTTGTGCCAAGAAAATTTCGTTCGTTGAAAATTTGAAATACCACGCCAAAAGAGGAAGAAATTGAACGAATAGAAATTTCAAAGTGAAGCAGTACAATTTTTAAAAAAAAGTATTTACCTGTAATATTCGCGTAACGGATATCTTCTTCATCGGTTCCAACATATATGGACAATCGTTGCAGAATACATTTGTCGAGGGATCAGAAACGTCAATATCCATGTCTAGTATATCGTTGTAAATGTTCACCAACCTGAAACCAATATGTTTTATCAGTCGAATGAAAATTAAGCGAATATTTACACAAATATTTTCACCTGAAAATAATTCTAAGCAGTTCATCGCTCTTACAATCAACGATCTCGTTTATCAAATTGCGAGTAAATCTCGCGAGCACGTTCAGCTTTCGTTTTAACATCGTCAAAAAATGATACATCTTATATTTATAAATTGGATGTGTACTAAGGCTCATTGTACTGAGTGATTTGTACTCTTTCGTCCTCTCTTCTAAATCGTTTGCAATTTTTTTATACACCTAAATTTAAAATACGACTTCAGACACTTCAGACTTCATGAGAAGATAATATAATAATTATTATATTATTATATTATCTTATAATTTATAATTATATATATATATATATAATTATAAATTATCATATATAATATATCACGTTTATTTACGAATATGCAAATATTTATACAATTTTATATTTTTATAAATTAAAGAAATGAAATCCAAATAATTTATTTTAGATGTTTTATATGTATATTTTTGCATATTATGTGCATTTTATGTATTTTGTACTTTCTAAAACTGTAGTAGTAGTTTAAGTCCCTGTTTAAATTGTACGAAAAATTTCACAGCGAAAATGTTTTCAATAATATAAGAGTAGAAAATAAAATTTTAGTTTTCTCTTTCTGGATACAGAATAAAAAAAAAGTAGAGAATTCTTACTCGTATATAAATCGTTATCATAAAAAGAAATGACTCATTTTTGATACCAAAGAGAATATTAATGATTCATTGAAGAAGTAAATCATTTTTGGTACTAAAGAGACTATTTTAACAGTCATTTTCAGAATGAAAAACTAAATCACGACAAAAATTTGGCCACAGAAAAGTTAATCGCACCTCGAAATCACAGGACTGTGCGTTTGTAATATCCTGGATGATTAAAGCTATGGCTTCTACGAGGTTGTCTATACGTTTTGTAAGCATCGACGAGTTGGCGAACCATTTCTCGAGAACATCACCTGGAGGTGGCAGCCACTTGCCGATATTTGCTCTATAATTAGTATCCATGTGGCTAGAAAGAAAAATTAGCGAAAATTTATATTATTGTTTAATCGACCATTTGAAGAACAGTAGTGTTTTTATCGTCCATATATTAAATGATAATATTTAAATATCTGTTGTGAATAATCGTTCAAGTCGGTTGAGTATTCCTATAATCTTCCAATTCCATCGAATCACGTAATTAAACAAACAACGAAATTATTCACGGGTATTTCAAATAGAAAAACAATTGAAAATACTTGAATAAGTAATATTGAAATGCTACACAATTTTATCGTACAGAAGTATGATGAAGTAGTCATGAGTAATTCGAGTAGAGTTGCCAAGGTAACGCCTAACGACTGGCATCCGTGCAATGTAAACTATGTAAATCATAAATTATGTCAGTTCATTATTTTTCGTAATCGAATCATGACGGTATTAAATATACTCAATATTGTTTGAAAAACAATAATACTTTTATTCCATTGATATACATATATATATATATATTGCATTTTAGTATATCTGGTTTGAAATTAATCTTATATTGGACAGATTGTTTCTCCAGTAAAGTTATCAGCTTACAAATTTTTAAAGTTAACTTATCTTTAATGATATTGATAATTTAGTGAACTTAAAGCGAGTTTTACATGTTATTATTTACATGTTACTATTTATATCTAATTTATATAAATTATATGCAATAATTTTTAAAGTATGAAGTGTATTAGGGGATTTTTCGTAACACAGTTGTGACTATAACAATGCTGATACCGTGATATGACGGTACGGTTGCAGTTGTAAAAAGCCATTTTAAAGAATTTTAAATATAATCATCGCAATTATGGGTAACAGCTTTCAATAATGAATATACATTTCTTTATACATAGTATCTTATATATTTTTTTCTTTTTAGGTAATTCACAAAATAAAAATGTTTCAAAAAGAACTGAAAACATTTATGTCATGCCACCAACGCCATTTATGACAAGAAGAATTCTTCCAAACTTGGTACATATGGAAAAATAGTTTCCTATTATTTAAAAGAGCGTTGATTGGCACGAATTCTAACGAGCAACAATGGGGAAACATATTATTAAATTTAATGGGCCCAATTGGACGAAATATTCATAATACATTTACATTTGATTCGCCAAACGATAAGGAAAACATAAATATATTGATTCAAAAGTTTGATGAATATTACATATTTTCAGGAAAAAAGAAATTACCTTTAGAAAATGTTTATGAATATATTAATGAATTGGAGGTAGACATTTAAAAATTTACAACATTATTCTAAAATATGTATATGCAGTAAATTTTTAACCTTCTATTTATATAATTCTCTTTTCTAGTTAATGATTAAAGAAAAGAACATTACAAATGGAGAAGAATTAATAAGAAAGAAAATTTTAACAGAAATTAATAAACATCAATTTACAAATACTGCTAATAATCTACTTCCAACATTTATATTTTCTTCTGATTTCAACAAATTAACATTAAAAGAAATTGCATTTATTTGGAAATTATATACTGATTCTGATATCTGTACAAGATGTGATGGAATTCATTCTCCTGAGAAATGTTCAGCATTGGGAAAACAATGTTCAAAATGTAATAATTGGAATCATTTCTCAAGAAAATGCCCAACAAATTATATTAACAATTGCGATTATTGCGGAGGTAATCACATTTATAAAAAGTGTCCAGCTTTTAATGAAATTTGCACAAAATGTCAGAAAAAAAATCATTTTAAATGGAAATGTCAAAGCATTCAAATTCTACAATGTCGCTTTTGTGGTTTAAGTCATGCTGCAAACAGATCACTTTGCTCAGCAAAATATAATATTTGTTCAAACTGTAACATTATGGGACACGTTCCTTCAAGATGTAATAAAAGATTTCTTGCAAATAGACTTCAAAATGTCTCATGATGTTGATGAATATTATATAAGAACATATTAAGTACATATTAAGTAAATTAAAATTTTATTAAAAGTTATTAATAATTTTATATATATTTTATATAAAAAATGTAATAAACTCTCTTATAAATATATTTACAATTAACATTATCAACATTTTATAAAGTATTTACAATTTCTTTTGTAAGCCGTTTATTTTCTTTTTCCATTTTATTCCATTGTAATTTTAACATATTATTCTGGCCTTTGGTACGATAATAGCTAAAAAATAGACAAATTAGTAAATATTAGTTATTATTTTTCACGGACAACTTACTGGCGATATTCTGAACATGCAATTATACTTGATGTTGTCATTGCATCCCATGTTCCATCAATATCTTGTATTGGGACCAAATGGGAAACCTCTAAAATATTTTCGCATTCTTCTATCTTTAAGGTTCCATATATTTTAAATATAATATGTTTTTTCTGAAAAAATTTGTTGTATTACAATTATATTATAAAAACAAATAAAGATAAATAAAAATGAAAAACTTACCCATATTGGACAATATATTTGATTCGAATCTTCAATATATATATCATTAATATTTAAGATTTTAAAACTAATTGGGAATACAGTATTATTTCCAGGAGTCAAAGACACGAGAGTAGCACGAGTTTCAGTTTTTGGAACAAGTTGTCCCAATGTTTGTATTGTTTTAACTCCATTTTTCTCATGATCTTTGAAAGCAACATATGTATAAATATCTTCCACTAATATAGGGACATATGGAATATCATTATAAAACAATTTGTTTCGTGAGGCTAAAGAAATTCTCCAATCCTTATTCATTTTACATTCATTTTTGCGTTTGACATCGTTATTATAAAATTTCTTATTGACAATTCAACATAAAGGTTTCAAATAACCTAAAAATAGTTATCTAGAAAAAGAAAAATAGTTATCTAGATCTAATAAATAGTTATTTTTTACATTATTTAATATTTACAAGAATAACGTAATAATAATTTATTAAAATATTTTAAAATTTTTATATCGATTTGATTTAAACTTATTACCAACATTGAAATGAATAGATAATTTTTTTTACGATGTTGATACACATGATCAATTGGTTTTTAAAAGTATCTATCAGGGTAATACCCTTTATAAGGTGATAAGATATCAATGAGTAACAAGCTTCTGAATTAATGTTTTTTGTGTACCGTCTTCTGCAATATATTTTTAATAATCAGGTAATTATATGTATATAGCTTTAATTATTAGAAAATATAATATATAAAAAAAGTATTAACTTTTTCTAAAATAAATATATAAGTTTTTCATAAGAGAATATCAATATTTTGACAATATGTCAAAGATTATATCATATAATGTATCATAAGTTGATTTATTAATTGCCTAACTGTATGTTTATATCTAATAATACATATGTATGTATATATACTATACATTATATTAAACTTTTAACTAATATACACTATATTAAATTTTTTTCAGATAGTTTTATATGACTTTATCATTCTAAACTGTTGTTAATATAATAAATTACTATTATTATGGATTTATATGTACGACCTCCTGAATCCTTATCTACTAGTGGAGATATGATTCAGAATTGGCAAAAGTGGAAAAAAGATTTTATGATATTTATGGAAGCAAGCAATTGTATAAACAAACCAAAGAATCATCAAGCTTATCTCTTGAGAACTTACATAGGAAAAATGGGTCAAGATATCATAGAAAAACTTGTTTCAAATAATTTAAAGGAAAGAGATGACATGAATATATTATTAGCAAAACTTGATAAACACTTTTGTCACCATAAAAATGAAGTTATAGAGCGATATAATTTTTTTAACTCAAACAAAAAACCAGATGAATCGATTGAAGATTATATTGTTAATTTAAAAGTATGTTGTTTCTAAAAAAATGTATATATTTTTTACTGTGCATTTTGTTCACATATTTTTTTAATTTTTAGAACAAAGCAAAAGATTGTAATTTTGGAAAGATGACAGACAGTTTAATTAGAGACAAAATAATTCTTGAATTTAAAAATAAACAACTGAGACAAAAGTTGTTTAATGTAGAAAATCTTAATTTATCAAGACTAGTGTCAATTTTTAATGAACATGCATCTACAATGCGAAAGGATCAACAGAATGTACCAAAAAAGACAAATAACATTGATAATGTATCTGACGATGATATTAAAAATCGAAATGGAGAAGCTAGTAGTTCGAACAGGAATGAAAAATCAGTAAATATACAAAATAGAAAGAATTGTAGTAAATGTAATCAAAGACATCCTATGAGAGCCTGTCCTGCTTGGGGTCTTAAATGTGAAAAATGTGGCAAATATAATCACTACACCAATTGTTGTCCATATAAGTTTATTGAAAAAAAGGAAATAAATGTATGTTTCTAATTCTAATAGTACATATATTAAGTTTATCTTTTTATTTTATTATATAATAATTATTTTTTTTATTTTAATAAATTTTAGGAAAAAACAAATAGCCTTAATGTAAATCCACAAAGAGATAATCAACAGGTAAATAATGAGAAATTGAAGAATTGAAGAATTTATTTACTTATTAATATCTAAATAAAACTATAACAAATTTTTTATAGTGTCCTACAGCTCCACCAATTTCTGATATTGATCACGTATATCCAAATCTAAATTATGTGAGATCTCAAGAAGCAATGGTATGTTCAAAAAAAAAGTGAAGGAGACAAATATAACAGACAAGACAATGCTGAATTTTGACTTCTTTTTTTAGAATACGATCAACTGGTCATATATGGAAAATAGATCAAATGAAAATTTCCAAAGAAGTGCGGCACCACAGGTGAGCAGTTTTTTTAAACTTGTATCTTTAACATTTAATTGAATTATTCAAACTTTTTTATTTTTCAACAAGCATCCAAACATGGATCAAAGAACTTCTAATATGGAAAATAAACCTCATAAAACGTCTAATAGCGATTGCCGATTATCGTAAGAAAATTTAATATGTTTAATATATTTAGTACAGTGTTTAGTACAATGTTTGTAATAGTTTCGTTAATAAATGACAAATAAAAGATTATATCTAACAGTAAATAAATTTTAATTTATTCATTATATCGGTTCCTACATTAAGTTAAAATTATATTCAGATAACTGTAAAAATTAAGAAAAATAAATGACACGTTAAATACGAATTATATTTCCTTTATTATAAATTAATTTCCTCTTATGTAGTCATTAAGAACTCAATTACGAATAAATAATTACAATAATTCCTCCTTTATCTTAAGTGTGAAAAATATCAAATTTATTTATTTTTGTTTTATATGAATAATTTGTGGTATAACATTTCTTAAATGATATAACTTATTAATAAAATAAATAAAGCACTAATCTCTTTGGTATGAGACTCACATAAATTGCAATTAAAAAGATTATATAATATTTTATAATCAAAAATATGTTTCTTTTTCCTTACAAATTTGTTATACATTTGCATATTAAGAATACAACAATCCTGTCAAATAATGTAGTGCTTTATAATAAATTTGTAGAATTTTTTAAAAAGATATAAAAATTTGTTTCGCTTTAGAATAATTTGTCATGATATATAAAAATGGAGTAAATAGATAAATTCTGTGATATACTAATCATATACTGCATTACTTTATAGTAATTTGTTTTTTTTTAAATCATGTCTTCATTGTATAAATAATTTAACATTTTAAACGATATTTTGTCAATTGATTCATAAAACAAATTTTTAATTTATTAGTACATCACAATAATGTCTAATGCTTAGGTTAATAATTAGATATTAATAATACTATAGTATAAACTCGACTTTTCAAAGAAAACAGATATTAAAAAAGTATTTTAGATGTAAAAACAGCTTTCTAAACTTTATCTATGTTAAAAAAGATTAGTAACAATAACAGTAAAATTTGTTCAAAAATGTTATTATACGAAAAATCTAGTAAACACTTATTATAAAAATCTATAAAAATACACAGTAAAATTCTAATATCTGCCTTTTAATAAAGATATTATGCATAACTTATATGTATGTCTTGGATGAGTATAAAGTCTTCTATAAATGAAAGACTTTGATGTCAATGGCATTAGTAAATATGCACAATATATTAATTAACATTTGTGAATACAGATATATGCAAAACTTATATTTTATATAAATGTATTTATAAAATATGAAGTGAAAAATTTATAATATACATATATATATAATATGTTTTATATATATATATATAATGTATACAGAAATGCTTTCTCATTTAGAAGTATAAAATTGTCAATTGTAAATTTTTTAAAAAATCGTTATATTTTTATCATATTTAATTAGCAATGTATGTAATTTATTCAAAATTTCTCAATTGGATGGAATAAAGGCAAATATGATTTTAATAAAATATAAAATTAATTCTCAACATATTTGTCATGTTACTGAAAGTAATTATTACTGTACTTAAAATATTACTGTACTGTTATTTTTAACAGTAATAGATACTTTTTAGTTACACAAACAAAAGGTACATAATAAATGTAAATGGTAACTTTAATTTTCTAACATAACTAAAGCCTATATAAATATTATTGTATGTGGTTTTCAGTATACTGGCAAGACACATGATCAAATGATTTGAATCAAGTTACGGACGGGTCTTGACTAAAATTATCTATATCTGACGAAAGTATAAGTTTATTTAAACTATAAGGTGGCCTTTTTGGTTTTGGAGGTGGAGTGGGTGGTCTCGTTTGAATGTCAAGATCGTCTGTAGGAGTTGGAAGTTTGTTTTTTGACCAATGTCCTAAAGATCGGTTAAAATTATTTAAACTACCTGTTCCACAATGTTGAACAGGCAATTCTTCTGGAAGATTATAATAATCAGCTTCGCGTGTTTTCATAGGTAAAGGCGGTGGAGGGTCATCTTCAGATGCTGTACTATCTGTAGTACCAATGCTATCTCTGTTTCCTTTTCCTAAACTACTTGAATCCGTTCCATTGTTTATATTTCTCAAATAATGTTGAGATTGCCCAGATAAGCGATTGCTTATTCTTCTTTCTTTCTCTACTTCTGATCTTAAAGGGCGTTTAGGCGTTAGCTAAACAAAATTTTTTTATTATTGTTATTATCATTATCGTCATCATTCGATCCAATTTTACCAAATATCATTGTATCGAAATATTACCTCTTGACGAAGTTCAAATATTGGAGTAGTAGGAAAACTAGATGTTAAGGGAGTGACTGGTGTCGATGTAATTTGTGATACATCTGCTGTAGTATACCACTGACTTGTTGGTTGATCACTTTTTGTTGACGCAATTGAATCACTTTTACGTGAACTTCTTCGTTTTGAATCTTTTTTTTTATTTGTTCCTGGGCTTGGACTTCCTAATGCTTTTTGTAAAGATGCAGTGGATAATATGTGTGAACGTATTGAAGAATTCCTATACAATAATAATTTTTTATTATACATCTAATTTTATGAATATATATATCAAAGATGTTATTAATGTTATTTTATTAATATAATAGCACACTATTTACCTATTTAGCATAATAGTCGATTGTTATAGAAGTTGTTTTATCCAGGGACAAACATGGTAATATAACAAATAATACGAAAAAATATCATGCAAATAGATAATAAATAATAGAAGAGAAGAAAAAAATAATATGTACAAATAATTTTTTAAATATATATGTACATATGTGGTACTTTTTAAATATTTTATTTTTAATTTTTAAAATTAGACTAAACTAAATTAGATTAAATTAATTAAACTAAATAATATTAAAATAATTAAAAAAATTTTAAATAAGCTAATTAACATATTAGATATTATACATATAAAAAATAGGACAAATAAAAATTTGTACATAAATATACACATGTGTACATATACAAAAACTGCTAAGTGCGAAGGAAGGATAATAGGATATTATGTTTATCAGGCCCAACGACAAAATTCCTGAAATTACATATATATTATTCTAATATTCATTCATAAAAATTAGATAAATATTTTTGAATTGATATTTAATGATAATTAATATTGATATTTTAACTGTTTTTTTTCCAAAGAAAACAATATAATCAATCATTTATTTAAAGTTAATTGTACTATCAAGAAAAATTTACTACGAATATTACTGATAAATCACAATTTTCAAATCACAAACCGAATATTACAAAATAATAATAAGAGATGAAAAGAAACTTTTAAAAATTACTATACTATAGTTGTTTTTACACATCATCAATCTAATATCTTTACCTTGATAAACTGACGTTTTGAGTACCAGATGAAGATGTACTGTTGTTAAAATTGAATGAGGCGAGCGACTTGAATGTTGCAACTTGGGTTCTGGTAAGAGAGGATACCCTGGAGTGAGTTCCACAGCTGAATGATAATTATAAAGTAACCACGTAACGTTATTAAAAAATACATGAGCTGATTTTTGTTTGCTATTATATAAAATGTGTGTTACGAATTTCAGGGGATTTTCATTTTTACATGCATATTAATCTTTAATCTTTACAAACTGAAACGATTCTTCAAACACATACAGTTATAATCTCATACCAAAGTTAATGGAATTTAATAACGTAATAATAAATGAATGAAATTGTTAGTACCAATAACAGCAATATTTGCAGCAAATTACACATATAAAAATAAACATATAAATTGCTTACTCTGAATTCATAATATTTGATTCAGATAATCGATGATTCTCTCCTCTCGAAGTTTGATGTCTTCTCATTGTAACAGGTTGGGTTAGATTTTCAATTTGTAAATCGCATGTCTGTAGTCCATATATAATTAATTTTTTCAAATAAATTCCTTTTCATAAAATAATTATCGTAACTTACCCTTTTGCCATACTTTGCCTCTACTTGATTTCGCATTGATATGAAACATTGTTCCAAACGCTGATGAAACGGAATCAATTCAGGAGGAGCACGTACTTTATGTAATTGAACACCAACACTAAGCAATGGAATTTGTTCAGCGATTAATCCCTCCAATTTCAAAAGATCGGAACTTTCTTCTGAATGAGTATTGCGATATTCAGAATTAAGAAATGCCTTTTCATAATTATCTATACCACCCATTACAGCTGGATCTAATATACCATTTAATTTCATACTAAGTGGATTTAGCGGAATATTATTGTCAGCTTTGTGTGCTAAGATTAAATCTCTTAATGTAGTATTTGTAGCTTCCATTGTTTCAATTGCATTACGAAGAGGACTAACTAAATAGGTTTCACTAGATGTAACAGGAAAGCATCTAAGAATGCCTGGTAATGGATGACTTGTAACGAGTACTGTTCTTTCTAACCATAATGAAGCAAACTCGTTATTGGTAATAGTTTCTTTTTCTTTATCGCCAGAATTAACAGTAGTTGAGGTTAAATCTTTCTTTGGTGCTGGTCTTGAAAATCGAAAACGTTGAACATCATTCACGCGATGATATCTTAAACATTATAAAAAGACAAAATTATAAATTCATATTATAAATTTATTGATTATTTAATGATATTTTACCTCAACACTGCTTCTGCTGTTATAGGTTTCCCACTAAGGCGATGTCTTTTTTCATCCATTAATGGATCTACCCTATTAATTTGGACGTATTGATGACTGGATTCTAACATTTCTGAAGTGGGAGGAGATAATTTATTCATTTGTTCCGCATTTGGTAACTGATTTAATGTTCGCGAGCAGAAATCACTGAGACGTTCATATTCTTTTCCACGATAAACAAATACCTGTGATTAATCAATGATAATTAATAATACTAATTAGAAGACATACAAACTTTTTATGAAATACCTTATTTTGTAAAAATGCCGGATGACCACGACCATAGTATGCAACTCTAAAATATTCAGGTTCAGGCCTTAATTGTTTTACTATTGAATCATAAAACTTGGCCATACGTGTCAATAATACAGAAAGTTGTAAATAATCAAATGTCTCTTCTTCATATTGTGCAACTAATTCCTTACATACTGCAAGTGCACATTCCCACATTTTACCCTTGTCAAAGTATTCAATCATGTCATTATATAATGCTTCTTTCAATTCGCGATGCGTTTGACATACTAAATATCTATGCGATCTTAAAAGTGGTGATAAT